AAAAAAAAAAAAAAAAAAAAAAAAAAAAAAAAAAAAAAAAAAAAAAAAAAAAAAAAAAAAAAAAAAAAAAAACAAAACAAAACAAAAGGGAAAAAGGAAACAGGAAACAGAGGCAGAGACATGAGGTTTCATACATGGGATTGTCAGTCCCAAAAGAGAAAAAGAAACATAGCCAAAATGGGTTGCCCCAGATTGCTGATATCACACGCCCAACAGAAGCCCTTCGACGCTGCGGCCTTGCATGACAATCCCCCAGCCTGAAACCAAGCTGATCAGCCACAGGACAGCAAAAATGAGGATGGGCGCCAGTAAAAGTTCAGTGTTGTGCAGGAAAGGTAGCGCATTATATCCCAAGAAAGTGATATAGGTGTAGTAGATGAGGGCCGAGAGGTAGAGTGAGTTTCCCAAGAAGGTGGCCAGGAAATTACTCGGGCTGCGAGTGAGCAGAGGCAGCAGAAGGAACTGCACCACATACAAGTGGAGGTAGAGCGGAAAGAAGGCACGGTTGGATACCTGCAAAGAACGCGATTAGTACAGGAACCGTAGCATTGTGGAACCATACGTACATCAAAGCAGTATCCAAACTCCAATTGGTCCTTTTCTCCTGGCTGCATGAACAGGCCTTGAGCGGCACCTCGTCTCCGACCCCGGGACCCCCGCAGACCAGCTAGGGAGGCCGCAGCCCCATCGGGCCCGAAGAGCTTCCCAATGATGAAGTATCCAATTGTGGAGATCAGGAGGGAAGAACCGATGAAATGGACGAACACGAATAGAAATGTCAGGCGGAAGATGGCACCGAAGCTCGGAGTGTAGGCAAGGCCCCATGCGAATGCTGTGAGGAGGAGGAAGAAGGAGAGCAGATAGGTGAATGATGGGTCGGGTCGGTGCCATGTGTTTTTGGTTTCTGGTGGATGGTCAATAGCGGGTCCATGGCTCAGAGTTGCCATTGGAAATTCAACGTCTCTACTCCATCCCACCGGCGCTGGGTCCAAGGGCATGGCAGCCAGGCCTCAGGTGTCACTCACGTTTCTGGGTTCGATGATTAGCACGGATCGAGATCGGGGGCCCCAACTGCCACTCACATGGTAATATATGGACTTGAAAACCTTCTTTGGGGCGATCAACAATGAAGTCATCTCCCACACTGCCATCTCAAAGTCCATCTGGGGAAATTTGAAGAGCCTATCTCATGTTAGGCCCGTCGGCGTTGGGACTTGAACGAACTACCTTTTGAAGAAGCGGGGCATTCGGGCGCTGGACCGGGCAGCAGGGGTTGAACCGAAGGTCGAAGGACCCGCATGTTGGCGGGGAACAGAGATGTGAGGATTCATGGTGCTCGTAGGGAGAGCTCATGAGGTTGAACCCACTGGGCCACCTGGCAGGGAGCTGGCCTATGTCATACGGTCACGTGAACGCACCTGGATCGTGCCTCGCTCTCTCCCCCTCGAGGAACTCTCCTGCAATCGTCGGTTTCTCCTCCGTATCCCGTACCCCGTGCGTAATCTAACACGGGTATGGAGTACTACTCCGTACTCCGTACAGACGGGGGCATTCGTTCCACGTTGGAGCATCTCGGATAATATTCCCTTTCGAATCCACTCTGCAAGGGGCTAAAATAGTCTGCGGAGACGTGCACTCGTCAATTCAGGTATAACATGGATATCTCACGGTCCTGCGCAAAATTCCCGAATGCAGAGTACTCGTACAGTACTCTCCTAGAGGGCTCCCTCTCCAATTGGATTCCTCCAATGCAGGTGTGTTGGTCGCGCGGTGAACACGGAGTATACAGACAACAGACCCATCCAGAGCACGGAGCACCCATGTCCAATGTCCAATGTCCAATGTCCAAAGTACAGAACGTAGAAACCAAAGATCATAGAAGCCCCTGAATCTGTGGCAGGTCAATAGTCTAATGCACCTGGGCGGTTTCAAGTGCAACTTTTTTTTCCCCTGCGAGCGCTGAGGGGCTTTATCCGCTCAGGAGTTCTGCCGCAACCTTGACTTCACCTTTTCCCTCTTTGCTTTTTTTCTTTCCTTCTTGTACATCTCCTGGCGAGATGAGACATGAGTGATCCATCCTACTCTCGTTTCTAGACAAGTTGGGCCTTGGGCATTTTGGGGTGAGCTCGCCCAGTTCCCCTTCTTTCGGCAATTGAGTGGCTCGTTGGCATTGAAGTTAACATTGAATAGCGACATGTCCCAGCAACGTGAACGATACTCGCCGCCTCATACGCCTCCCTCCCAGACCGCGCGATTCAAGCCAAAACGCGGATACTCGGCACGACCGTCCATTCGGGATGCGTTCCCAGACGCCATGGAGAACCCCCAAAGCGAGTCTGGGGACGACCGGGATCCGCATGATCTGTCCCTTTCCCCGCAACATGCGGCGCGAACCTCGATCGTGGACAACATGCTGCTCTCGCTCGATCAGTTCGCCTCGACCTCGTCTGTTCTAGATGACTATCGTCTGTTCAATTCCGCGTTCGAGAACGACCACAGCCACTTCTCCCAGGATTCCACCCATGGCCGATACCGGGGCCATACGTTCTCCTCGTCTCAATCCTCGGAGCCAGAATACGGATATGAAGATGGGAGTGGCCGGTATGCCACACTCACAGCGACCAAGGGACGACGGAGCAACAGTAGTTCGACCTACCAAACGGCACCGAGACACGCGGGGAGCTCGCGTGGGGGGGATGCCATTAGCTCGCGCGGTGTGGGCTCAATGCCACGAACGAACGCCGCCCGCAATGGGAGCAAAGGAAGCTCTTCCTCTACAGCAGACTACTCGTACACCATCCCGAGGGCGCGGACCGACCAAGGTTTGAGTCGACGCTCAGCGAGCTTTGACTGCGGGCCCAAGCGGGCGTTTGCGCCTTACGATGATACAAATATGGCTCAGGACTCGATTCTGTACGACGACCACGAGGCCGCACCCACCCCAAGTATCCCGGCGGGACCACGCAAGGTGACAGACTATAATCGACCATCGAACACGGGGGCCTCGCGAACACACGCAGCAAAATCGACACAGGCGCCCCAGGGCCGAGCAGCTCGTCTCGATGATCTCGGCACCGGGACTCCCAGAGTCCGGGAGAATGACTTCCCAAATATGACCGACACAGAGTTAGATCTTCCCCCGACCATGCCGGGGTCTTTCGACCCTCCGGCCCCCAGCCCAACGATCTCCTACAACAAGCCAGCCCTCCCTACCACGGATCCGACCTCAAATACGACTATTCCGATGGTTATGCCCGCCCCCAACCCGCCCCCAAGCAACAAAGAACGTCCGGGATTCTTTCGACGTGTTTTTGGGTCCAAGAATCCAGCTCCGGGGCCGGCTTGGCCTCCTCAGGAGACACCAAACTATAGTCCGAGCGAGTTAGCATATTTACAGGATACCGCGATCAGGGAAGCGTCCGCAGTGGCTGCTAGCCACAAGACACGGGTTCAACCAGCTGCTCAGAGCTCGGCGGGAACTTCACCTGCCTCTGTTCGCACAGGACCCCATCAGGTGGTGAACAAGAAGTCTTCCTTCTTCCGCAGGAGGAAGAGATCCGTGGCCGATCATATTCCGCCGCCAATCGTAATTCCCCAGCATCTTGCGCCCCAAGCCTTGGATAATATGAAGCCCGAGCCAAGCCCAGTGAGTAGCCTGCGCCAGGTCATGAATCCATACCTCGATGAAGATGTAGACCAAAAAGATGACGCAGAGTGGGAAGCTAAGATTCGACAGCCCACCTTTTTGCAGGCGCAAACAAAGCGAGAGAGTGTTTCGGCTCCGGGAGCCCCCAAAGCGATACTTCCCGTCCAACCCTCCGCTTCTCGTGCCCAGGAGCGTGCACCGCTTGCAGAGAACCGGGCTCAGCTTCCAAAGGCTGAAGGGAGCACAAACTCGGCTCTGCAGGAGAAGTCACAGAATGTGGCCCAGTCAGCCGCGCTCTCCCCGGTAGAGGAGAACTTCTCCCGCAGCATCAAGTCACAGGCGGAGGTCCCTTCGGCCAATGTGGCCAGATTAGCACTTCCATCTGATGACGTAGCTTGTGAATCCCCTGTCGATTCTGTTTCGACAGCCTCACACTATCAGACTGCGGCGAACACTCCACTTATCGAGCAAGACGAGCACAAGCCAGCTGCCGAAGCCGAAGATCAAGAAGATGGGCCAGGCGACGCGATTGAAGATGGTCCCACGGCGGCGGATCGAGAGCAAGCTCAGAGGCTATTCGATAGCCAGGATGAGGTCGTTGGCGATGACCCCGCTGCCGCTTGGCTTGGTGATCCTGATCGAGCGGCAATCCGTGAAGCATACATGCGATTGTTCAATTGGTCGAATCTCAACATCGTTGCCTCGCTTCGGTCACTCTGTGATCGTCTGGTTCTCAAGGGAGAAACTCAACAGGTCGATCGAGTGCTGGATGCCTTTTCGACCAGATGGTGTGATTGCAACCCAAGCCATGGGTTCAAAGCCACTGACGTTGTTCACACCATCTGCTATTCCATTCTCTTGTTGAACACCGACCTGCACTTGGCTGACATTGAGTCCAAAATGACCAAGTCTCAATTTGTTCGAAACACCATGCCCACGATCCATCGAGTCGCAATGGACGCCGCTCCCGAGGGCTTTGAGACACTTCGCCCAATCAAGGCCCAGCCCCAGGAAGCAGTCTCAGCGCCTACATCGGCACGCTCGGCCAATTTCCCGTCGGACGCTGTACGGAATTCTTTGGACAAGGACAGCGAATCTAATGTGGACGCCGGCCCACTGGTTAACGCGCCATTCGTTGGAACTGTGAGAGCCTGGGAGCAGCAAGTCGAAGCCGTTCTGAAAGAGTTCTACACATCCATTCAGAAAGAACGGCTTCCACTCTTTGGCGCGCAGCCAGGGCGAGAAGTCTCCCGCATGTCGTCGAACAACTTTCTGGGACCTTCTAGCGGTACACTCCGCAGGAGTCCCAGCACTATCAGCAAGAGTGGCTCCGATATCTTCCCTCGTGGTCGCTCGGCAAACTCTAGCCATGGGGCTGCGCGGTGGTCCTCTAAACCTCGATCACGCGCCGGTAGATTGTATCCACCTTCAATGATGGGCTCCAGTCGTACCAGCCTCGACGATCAGTCCTCTGTTTGGAGTCCCACTAGCTCCAGTACTTGGAGCAAGTATTCCCTAGGCAAGTTCACATCAGCTTCGGTGGACTCCTTTGGCTCAGACTTCCCGCGTGGCGATTATCAGCAGTCGATCGGTTTCGCCAATGCCCTCAGCCAGGCCATCATTCGCGAGGATTCTGCAACTTCGGTCTACAGCTATGAGGAGCCCGAGCGGACCACCCCGCTTCTTGAGGATGACACCTTGGCTTTGGCCGGAGCGCCGTGGGCTAAGGAAGGAAGCGTGAAACACAAGCATCATCTAGATGCGGTGGACAAACGGGCCAAGGACCGCAACTGGAACGACTGCTTCGCAGTCATTCAGCAAGGCTGGATGCGACTTTTCTCTTTCAACAATTCCACGAAGTCAATGCGGCAAAAGTCTAAACAGCCTGGGGGTGTGGTTGTCGGTGGCGGTAATTGGACTGAGAATGCCGACGAACTTTGGAAATTCATGCTGCGCCAGACCATCGCTAGCGCGTTGCCGTCGCCAGGGTACTCCAAGTCCCGTCCCCATGTTTGGGCTTTGAGTCTCCCTACGGGGGCGGTCCACCTCTTCCAAGCCGGCACACCCGAGATTGTCCGCGAATTTGTATCAACGGCAAACTACTGGAGCGCCCGTCTCTCCAAGCAGCCACTTGTGGGAGGCATAAGTAATATCGAATATGGATGGAGCGATGCGGTCATCAACAGTGCCTTGGTTGGTGGCGGCGAGAGTCGATCACCGCCGCCTTCATCAGGCGCGCGGCCAAGCATCCAGAGCTCAATTCGCAGTTCTATCGACCAGCAAGGGATACGCCCTCGACTCCCCGCCGATCGGGTGAATATCAGCGACTGGAGCCCACCCCAGCAGAGCATGGTTGCCTCCAACATAAGTGAGGAAGAGCAGTTGAAAGCACTGCAAGATTACGTGAAGAATGTGGAGGACGATCTCTCTCGTCACAACGAACTACGTTCTGCTATGAATCTTGCATTCTCTCCGCGCCATCCCAATGCCGCCAAGGCCATGGCAAATTGGGAGCGGAAATCTTCATACCTCCTACGAGAGATTGTCAAATTCCGCACCTACATCGATTCCTTACGCAACGCTATCGGCTCCAAACACAAGATTCTGCCTTCTGCCGACCCTGAAAAGGGGAAGGAATCCTCTGCGGAGTCGGTTGCTGCGTGAAGAGAATGAACTTATCGAACCGGATGGCCCCTTCCGGTTGTACATATCTATTACGGCTCGGGGCGCCGTGATACATGAACCACGATAGCATGGCTGTATAGCGCCATGCTGAATGATTTTCTTCTATTCGTCTATGTTTGCTTTTTGGTTCTTTCCCGGGCGTGATTCAGTGAACATCTTGTTTAATGCTTGGGACGGTAATGTTGATTCTATGCCACGGATACCACGATAGTCATTTAATGTTATGAGGAGTGCAGATTCGAACCTTTAATCCATTGTTGAGGATTTCCAGCGTGCGTAGTCTTTCTGTAATTCCCTGCGACGTTTACTTGCAACACGATGTGTGATCAAAATCAATCGCTCGAGATCCAATTATTTGTCTATTTCAGGAAATTTATACGGTGGGCTCTTCGGCAACGTAGTGCAGGTAAGCTCCCAGCAATTTAGTTCCCTCGATGTAGTTGCGCTTGTCAAGCTTCTCGTTGACAGAGTGAGCGGCGTCGGTCGAGCTGCCCATGGGGAGAAGCAAGACGTTCTTGCCAGTAGCCTCCTCGAAAGTCAAGGTGACAGGGATACTATAGTCAATTAGCGTTCGTGAATCCACACGGCCACAGGGATGCTCCTACCTTCCACCTTCACGGGTCATATCGGGCTCAACGCCAAAGACCTGCTTCACAGCCTTGCCTGCAGCAGAGAAGTTCCAGTGCTTAGGGCTGGCGACCCACCACTTGCCATCGTGCTGCAGCCACACATCCATAGTGTTCTTGCTGTTCAGTTTGGCAAACTCAGCCTTGATGTGATCAAAGACCAGCTTGTTTACATCTTCGCTCTCCATGTTGGGCACGGTACGGATCGAGAATTTACCAATGACCTTGGCGGGGATGACGGTCTTGGCGCCGGGGGCCGAGTAGGCGCCTTCAACGCCGTGAATAGAGAGAGAAGGGTATCTCCAACGAGCCATGAGGGTGCGTTCCTTGGTGGCGTGGATTCCAGTCTCCGCACCAAGCGACTCGTGCAAGTTGTCCATGGTGTAGCTGATGTCAGGGTACAAGGTCTTCTCCTCTTCGGTGAGGGGGGCCACCAGGTCCATGAGACCGGGGATCAAGATGTTACCTTGGGGATCAACAAGCTTAGACAGAACGTTGACCAAATCAGTCATGGGCTCGTGGGCAGAGCCTCCGAAGACACCGGAGTGCAGGTCCTGGGCAGGGCCGGAAATGCTGATGGAATAGTAATTGCAACCACGCAAGCCGTAGGTCAAGCAAGGCTTCTCGGTGCCGAGCCAGTAGTTATCGGAAATGCAGACGGCGTCGGTGTCCTTGAAGTATTTCTTGCTCTCCGCCTTGATAAAGTCATCCAGACCCTCCGAGCCATATTCCTCCATGCCCTCGAAGCAACACAGCAGGTTCACGGGGAACTCGATGCCGGCCTTGCGGTGAGCATCGATCACGTTGAGCCATCCCAGAACGGGACCTTTGTCATCGGTGGAGCCTCGGCCGTACATGCGGTCCTTCTCATCGATGGTCAACTCGAAGGGCTCGGTGGCCCAGCCGTCCTCCTTCAATGCGGGTTGCACGTCATAATGTCCATAGACAAGGATGGTCTTCTTGTTCTTATCATTTCCGTATCTAGCGATCACAACCGGGGGCAGCTCCAGGTGTTCCTTTCCAGGCTGCTTGCCCAGAGGACGTTGCTCCACCTCGGCTCCCAGAGCTGTGAGCTCATCCGCCAAGAATTGGCCCATCTATAGATCCGATGATTAGAGTCTGACGTTCCTCTTTCCTCTCTCTCTTTCCTCTCTTTTTCTTTTCATTTTTCTTCTTTCCTTCTGGTGGGGGAACTTACACGGACAACATCCTTTCGGTTCTCATCCTGTGCAGAGATAGACGGAATGGCAACCGCCTTGCGCAGACCTAAGACATCAATCAGCTATTGCGCCCTGAGGACCTTGTGGGGAGTGACGTACGATCGATGAAATCGTTGGACGAATCGTCGACCCTGGAATATGTTAGCGGGATGTTTCCCAAACATAGAAACGCAAAAACGTTCACTCACTGCTTGAAGAAGGGCTGTAGCTGAGGCGCCATTTTGGGATCAGAGATATGGCCGTAAAAGAAGCGGCGAGGGACAGAGGGACGAGGGAGGAGAGAAGAAGAGAGGAGAGATCCAAATGGAACCCGGCGGAGAGGAAAGAGGGGCATAGCCGTCTTTGCCCTGAGGTAACCGTTTAGATGAGATGAACTTCTTATCACGTAATTTTTTTCCCGCCCTATCACGGTAGCGACGTTACAGTATGTCTACCTGCTAGTGACCTCTTAGTGACTTTAGTGGACACGCGACCTCGGCAATTGCCGCATGTCCTACTCGGGTAGTCTCCTGGTCACTGGGACATCTTCATCCTTGCCTCCAGGGCTACCGACATATATATCCATCTGTACATATCTGTATAGTTATTGCACTGGTATATTGTATAAGATTTTATGGAATACATCGAACAATGCTAGAAAGCTAGAATACAAGGATTTTTCTTTACAAAGCCTCTCTGACGGTTTGTCCCACGGCCGTGAAATAAAAGTACAACACTATGCGTCCTGTCCCCAGGCTTCCTTCCGCAATTGGCGGTCTTCTCTGGCCATACGTCGCTTAGGGCCCCATCGCGACTGCACCGCTTCCAGAATGCGGGCCTGGATCTCTCGCTTCTCCTTGCTCGCCTGGCAGACCATGGCAATGAAGACAGGAGAACATTCGAAGCGCTTGGCGAGCTTGTTGCGGCTCCAAGTCATGGGATCCGTCAAGCGGAGGTTTCGGATTTCTTCAATGTCTGAAGGCGCGAGGTGATATTTGCGTTCGGGTACGGACTTGTACACACCGGGAAGGTCTTCGGCATTGATGGTGGTAGTGGTCGAGAGGCTGGAAGATCGGCGGACATCATCGGCAGGCAGGAACTTCGATGGGGTGTGGTAAACATTGGGGGCACTGGATGGCGGGTTGTGGATAATGTGATCATGCCCCTGGTGAGAGGAGCCAAAAGAGGTATCTGGCTTGACACGTAGCCGCTGCTTGGTTCGGCGGTATGAAGATTGGTTTCGACGGAATCCGAGCGCCAGCGAGTCGGACAGTGAAGGGAGAAGGAATGGCAGCGTGAGGAACGGACGCTTCGTCGCGATGGAGGTGGCCATTGTGGTCTCGAATACAACTCAATGATTCAAGTATTGAGGGGTGGAGAATGAAGCAATGAGTCGGGCTACACCACTGTCGAGCTACACCACGATCGATGTGACTTTCACGGATTATAGAAGGGGTCGTGAAGAACGGGTCGTGTTGGTCGCTCACGGCCTCAGCCCGAATCTTTTTTCCCAGGGTCTCGTGACCCGTTGCTGACCTAAGTTGTAACTTACGCGTTACATACACAGTACATACGTCAGTACCGAGTACTCCCGTGGATCACCTGGTCTATCACAGTATATTCCTCCGTCTTGCACTTTGAAACATGGCTGCATCCTAGAGGCTCAGTGATGGAAGTTTGACAACTTCTTTGAATATCGCCATGTCAGACTCACCCGAACAGATCATGGATTCTTCTATCCCATCATCCCATGTGTTGGCCGATAAGGGTGTACGCGCCCCGAAGCCTCCCTCGTTAGTTTGGGGTCAAACGACGGATTCAGAGACAGGTTTCATATCACCCGTGAGCTCATCCGAAGCCTTGCGATCACCCAGTGAATCAAGATACACGAGACAGCCTTCTTCACCGGAGAGCTCGCATCTGCCGCCCCGGATACACTCCCCCGCCTCTCAGATCTTTGAGCGAGACGTACAGGAGGACATAATACCGGCTCAGGCTTCCCCTTCCATACCCGCTCATATCCGGACAGAGAACTACATCCCACCCGTTCTTGAAGCATCATCGGCCGCCATCACCGACGATCGTCTCGATCCTGACTCTGTCGAGATTGTCACTCATAGTCTCCATCAGTCTGCGGGGGCCGCATCCGCCGAGCAATCCATGTCATCCTCTATCGATGCGCATTTGCTAGGTCAAGCGGACACCGACGATCTATCGTCAAGTTACGGTGCTTTGGACTCAACAGACCTCCGCCGATTGAGCTTCATTTCATTCGCAGATGTTGTCAACGCCGAGCACGCGGAAACAAGTGACGCCCATTTGGGTGGAGTCTCTCGTGAGCGTTTGGGGGACATAAGTCATCCCTCGCCCCCTTTGCGCTCCCCTACTTCTTCACATGCACTCAGTATCTCGCCCCCTACAAGCATAGCACCCTCATCCAAGGGGCCTGAAATGTCACCTATCCGGCTTCCTACTATCAGTTCTGCTCAAAGTCCCATTTCCTCTGGTTTCGGAGGAGACCTGAATGTAGAGACCATGCGACAGGCCTTAAGGAAAACTGGCAGCGGTGACCTGGGTGGTCTGACTAGTCAGACTGTGAGTTCCGTTGGGGATGACCTGCTTGACCGTACGATTTAGCTGGCTTGTTTGTTTGGGCGTTCGTGATTGGATAATGGAGGGTCTCTGAGCAGGATCTCATTTTCTCCTTCTCTCTGGTTACTGATTACCTTTGCTTTTCTCTTTTCTCTTTCTTTTAATCTTCTAACGTTCTTCCCCTCTCGATGTCGGGTGTATAGTGCGTCTGCTCTTGATACATATCTCAATTACGGACCTCGGGTATGAATGTTCACTGAAACTTGAAGTGCATCTAAAACAACCCTGTGAGAGATATGCAAGTAGATGGATGATGTCTCAACGCGATGGGGCATGCACTGCTTTCGAGTCTTATATGATCACAAAGTGCCAAAGACGAGCATTCGAACCAGGTGAGGCGGGGGGCCAGGCTGGCGAATTCATCCTGAGATCACCGCCCTGGTTCAGCTGGGAGTTCGACGTCTCGTGGGGTAGAATGTTGAATTATTGTAAATTTGTTGTTGAAATTCAGGCGATCATTGCCACTTTATTGCTTGGTGCTTTGTACCGCGTCCAGCGCCCGTTGGAACCTCGCACGAAGGTCTGGTACCTCTTCTAACCCAACGCTGATGCGCACCAAGTCTGGATCAACGTTGAAGGATTTCGCCTGAGGTGACGTTAACGATGATTCTACGGGGGGTTGGGGGAAGCACGTACCCAATCCAATTCACCGTAGTGAGCCAAAAGAACATATGGAGAGCTGAAGGTATTAGCAAAGGCCCTTTTGAGAGGACAGACTTACTCACCTCAGTGTGAAATTTGTGCCAAGACTGGGCCCCTTCAGAACCTCCAAGGTATCGTAGAACGCAACAGCCTCAGGGTTGGAATGGAACGTGACAGAGAAGAGACCGCCATAGCCGCCGTTGGGATTACGGAAGCTGTCGTAAAGTGGTTTGGTGGGGCTGTATTTTGGGTAATAGACCTCTTTCACTGTGAAACTGTGAGTGAGGCTCCTCCAATATGTGTCCAGTGATCGAGCTTACCTAGAGGTGATTCCTTCAGCATGGCGGTAATGTTCTCGGTGGTAGAGTTGATCTGTTCGATGCGAGTCACAAAGTCCCGACTGTTTCGTTCTAGAAAAACCGCATCTTCGGCCCAGTAGATGTCTTCATATTCCCGATCATATGTTTGTTTGAGGGCCGCATAATACTGCGCATTGGGATTTAGAACTGCACTTCCTCCCATGACGTTGCTGTCACCGCTGAAGATCTTGGTCAAGCTGCTGACGACAATATCTGCCAATGGCAAAATATTGATATTGAGGAAATTACTAATGGTCTCATCAACCACCACGGCGAATCCGTACTGATCTGCCAACGCGCGGATCCTCTTGAGGTCCGGGGTTTTGAGGAGAGGATTTCCCGGAGCCTCGGTAAAAAGCCCTAGGAAGCGCTCGCCAGATTTCAGCCGAGCTTCGAGATCATCGAGGTCGTCCGAGGAGCCATGACCGTAGAACACACAACCCGGGCCCCATTTTTGAAGAATCTTCAGAGTATCCGTATAGGGAAACCCAAAGCAGATCGAGGGTAACTCCCCCCGAGTAGCCAGTAAGGTCTGGTGGGCGTTGAAGATTGCACTCATGCCCGACGGGTAAAGCAGTACATCTTCCTCCGACATGCCAGCCACTCGACCTTCCGACGAGGTTGTCTCCAAAGCTTCTGATAGCTCAACATCAGCCGTCAGGACACCTGCGATACGCCTGCGAACGGCCTGCTTCGCCTGATTGGCGAGGGAAGTGCTAAGGTTTCGGCCAAAGCGCTCCTCGATGAATTGGGCGTAGTCTCGACCATCGTCGGTGGTTTCCTTGGGGGGGGATTCACCGATAGAGCCCTTCCTCGGGCCATTCTTGCTTTGGTATCTTCGCGGCCCTTTGCAGGGACGCTGCGAAATGGATTCCGCGGTTGGTGTGCCTTTATCCTCCACCAAGAAGCCATCCTCCAAGGCGCCCAGGCAGAATTCACCGCGTCGACTGGAGATTCCATTGCCAGAATGCTGCCACACCTGTTTGGTAATTGGTGCATAATCCTTCGGGTGAATGATACACGATAGAGACGACGTGACTGTTGATCCGGCCTCGGTGTGCGGAGATGGAATGAAATTGACGATGCGGACTTTGTACGCCTGTTCCGCGGGTATCTTACTGAAGACAAAGGAGTGACAGATTCGCGCGGACTTGAGCGATGCGAAAAGAGTAGCCGATTCGAGGTCTGGGTCGCCGACGCGACGAACAACTTCTTGGGCAAGTTTTTGGATTGTAGGATGAACAAAGAATCGAGGATAACCGCACACCATCTTCTTCATAACCCAATCCTCACCCTCTTCATACCCCACATTGGCCCTCCATGTTGGTAAGGATACACTGACAGCCTGGGTGGTTGAGCAATGAGTCATAGAGGGGAATATATCGCGGGGTTATCACGTACATGATCAGTATTCGGAGGCACAGAGCCGCCCAATGCTTGTAACATCTCTTGGTTGCGATGAAAGAAAAATATGCGATTGCAAGCTAGAAGGTCAACCCAAAGAGAAGGTCTATGAAGTGTTCTGAAAGAAGAGAGAGAGAGAGGGGAAAAAAAGGTAGATAGTAGGAAATGATGTGATGCGATCTCGGCGATCGGCCCGCGGGCGTACCTGACAATTACATAAGATGCTGATACGATACGATACCTGGGGTATCGTTTCCCCAAAAAAAAAAAAAAATCTCGAGGTTTACAAGTTGCTATTTCACAAAAATGTCGGACCCCTCATCCAAACGCAGGAAATTGAGCCCACCTCCCAACGGAGCGCCCGGATATCCGACAGCAACCGATCAGAAGCGAAGTGCAACTCGAAACAAAGATGGGCGTTCTGCAGAGCTTGCAATGGCCAGCGGCTTCTACAAGTCCAGTTTCTTCAAGCTACAGATGGACGAATTGTTAGAAGGGCTGAGACCAAATCATGCTAGTCAAGTCGCCAAATCCCAGGAGTCACTACACCAGATCAAGAACGCCATTGAAACCCTGCCCGATAAAACTCCGCAATCCGTGTTCGATGCGGAGAAGGACCTGCGAGCTTCTGGCCTGGCAGTGCCGTGGCCTGAACCTCGACCAAGCAAGGAAGTGAAATACAGCATGGCTTACGCAAAGCCAGCCAATATCAATGTGGTGGGTAGCTTTGCGCTGCAGACGGGTGCTCGCGCTCTAGAGTTGCGCCCGATTGACCTGGCTGTAACCATGCCAAACTCGCTCTTCCAGGAAAAGGATTATGTCAACTTCCGATACTTCCACAAGCGAGCTTACTACATGGCGTGCTTGGCTGCTGGGATCCAGGATGTCGCGAACAATCTCGGGTTCGACGTCAAGTTTAGCACTCAGGATGGAGACAGCCTTCGGCCTCTGGTCCTACTCGAGCCACAGGCGCCCGGTTCCTCACAAATTCGAATCTTGGCCGCAGTTGATCCCACTCTGTTCCCGATCTCCAGAACACTCCCAATGAAGAGCAATATTCGCCAAGGTTTTTCTGCCAGTTCGGAAATTGGCGAGCCGACCTCCTTCTACAACGCCAGTCTGCGCGCTGATGCTACCGTCTCCCTATATCATAAGTCGATTTATTCGGCTTCGCAGAAATGTGAGTCTTTCAAGGATGCGTGCATTCTTGGTCGCACTTGGCTGCACCAACGGGGCTTCCGGACTGCATTCCAGAATGGAGGCTTTGGAGGCTTTGAATGGACGGTGCTTCTGTCTCTGCTTTTTGAAGGCGGTGGCCCTGCGGGACAGCCTGTTTTGCTCCCATCGTACAGCTGTTACCAAATCTTCAAAGCCACAGTCCAATTTTTAGCTGGCAGAGATTTGACCACTCCCCTGTTTTTCAACCACGAAGTCTCTGTTCCTTCGGGCGTGCCTGTCGTATATGATGGACGTAGGGGACTTAACATCCTCTACAAAATGACATCTTGGTCATACGCCACACTGCGTCACGAAGCTTCCACCACTCTGAAGATGCTCAACGAGTCACGAGAAGACAACTTCGACAAAGTCTTCATTTTGAAGGTAGATGAACCCGCCCTGAGATTCGATCGATTGATCACAATCAAATCGTTCACTGGCGAGACGCTCAGGGCCCTTCAAGAACAAACAAAATTGTACAATGTTCTTACTAAGGCTTTGGGTGACCGGGTTAACCTCGTTTCCATCGCCTCTGATCCTGTGAGTACGTGGTCAGTCAAGTCAAAACAGCCCAAAAAGTCGAACGAGGGTGTATCCGTGGGGCTGTTGCTCAATGCCGAAAACGTTGGACGGGTTGTTGATCATGGCCCGGCTGCGGAGGAGAAGGAGGATTCCACTGCCTTTCAAGCTTTCTGGGGTGAAAAGTCCGAGCTCCGACGATTCAAGGATGGCAGCATCTTGGAAAGTCTGGTGTGGTCAGAGAACTCCGGGGACTCCATCATCCACCAAATTCTGGTGTACATCCTCCAGCGACACTTCGGGATCGTCGACTTTGGGTTCCTCGGTGATGATTACGATGAGCGTCTCAGGGCATATGGTGACAATATCTTGGCATACTCCAGTCCTGCTTTCCAGTCGGCCAATGAGGCTCTCAAAGACCTAGAGACATCCATTCGTACCATGGACGAGGTGCCGTTGGAGGTTCGCCATTTAGCCCCAGCCAGCTCGCTCCTTCGATATACAGCAGTGAGACCGGGCGGGCCAGCCGATGTCGTGCTTCAATTCGAAAGCTCCTCGCGGTGGCCGGACGATTTTGCGGCTATCCAGATGACCAAGATTGCATTCCTCCTCAAGATTGGAGATGCCTTGGAACAGGCGGGCGCTACTGCCTCGCCTTGCCGCGTGGGCCTTGAGAATGAATCGTCCAAAATCATCAACAATGCCTACCTAGATATTCCTCACTCTTCCGGTATTTTATTCCGCCTGAGAATTCACCATGACCGTGAGCAGACACTACTTGAGCGCAGTCTCAAGGACCGGTCGATGAGCCCTCGCGAACGGGAAGAAGCCGCGTTCGCTCTCTTTTCCTACAAGAAGACATTTGTCCAAATTCCTCGCTTGACCCAGGCACTTCGAAGTCTGTGCACTCGTTTCCCTCTGCTCTCCCCTACCATTCGTCTCACCAAGCATTGGTTTGCCTCCCACATGTTCACCGCTCAAATAAACGAGGAGTTGATTGAATTGCTGGTCATTCGGACGTTCACTCAGCCAAACCCTTGGGAATGTCCCTCAAGTGTCATGACCGGGTTCCTGAGGACTTTGCATTCCCTCTCGCGGTGGGACTGGCAACAAGAAGCTTTCATTGTTGACTTAGGAGGCGATTTAAGCCCTGATGTGACGGAGCACATTCGCACCCGCTTCACGGCTTGGCGCAATATTGACCCTGCGATGAACAGCGTGGCCTTGTTTGTCGCCTCTGACATTGACCCCGAAGGCGTGACCTGGACGCAGTATGAAATGCCCTCTAAGGTAGTTGCAGGTCGATTGTCTAGCTTGACCAATGCGGCGATCGGTCTCATTCGGTCTAAACCCCATGATTTGGATATCTCTGAGTTGTTTGACACCTCGCTTGCTCCCTATGACTTTGTCATCCATCTTCGTTCCAAGTTGTTTGGCAAGTCAACCTCGGCCCCCAAGTTCAAAAACTTGGCCGAGTCTCGTGCCTCCATGGGTCCAACGATCAAGTCGTTCGTTTGTGATGTCCAGTCCTGTTATAGTCAGAGCATTCTTCTCTTCCGCGGAGACGACCGTTGCCCAGTTATCGCTGGCCTTTGGAATCCCCAAACTTTGAAGCCCCGCAGCTGGAACCTGAAGACGGCATATTCAACGGCGCCAGCACCTGGTCCCGAGGATCAGGTGTCGATCAATCGGTCTGCTGTCATCAATGAAATTGCACGGCTAGGTCATGGGCTCATTGAACATATTGAGGTTCATGATCATTCAAAATAGACGTTAGTGTTCAAATTGACTGCATTCTTGCCCCCATGTATATTATCGCCTTGGCCTAAGGTCATGTTTATCTTGACAAATACAATGCCATGATGAAGAGTTTTTAAACATTGTTTTTCCTATAAGTTACTCCTAACTTTTTTAAGGCTCTCGCACAGCGCCGTGAACCTCACCCATTCCAGATGTTGACATAAGCGGACGCTCTTTGTGTGCAACCAGCACTTGAGACCACTTTCTTTCAGATCTTTCGGAATAAAGAAAGCAGACCCCTTCTCTCCGTCTACTCTTTTTTCGCATCTGGTATATTTTGTTTCCGTTCGTGCTTTTCCCATAATCTTCAATCATTCGAACCTCGAAGTTTACATAGGGCCGCCCGAGAGCTGATTACTAAGGGGCGCGAAACGCGAAACGCGACAACCTTCATCGTGTCCAATCTACAGAGATTCGCTGCCACGGCGCCCACAATGCCTTCAATGAAGCGCGCTCAGGAGTCTTCGGACCCTGATGAAAGCGATGGATCCATGAGCTCAGTAGGTTACCCTCGGCATGACTTGCAACTTCTCACCCTGCACTGCTAACATATTACAGAAACGACAGAGAACCAACTCAGGCTCGTCCAACTCAAGCTCTTCGCCTGTGGCCGCAGTAGACACACTAGCTGTCGACGAGGAGGAGCTTTCCGACGATGAGCTTGAACTCCGACAGACGCAGATCATTCAAGAAAAATATTCCCACCAGATGGACGAAGTCAACGTACCCGCAGAGCATGGGATTCTTGAACGCGTTGAGTGCTACAACTTCATGTGCCATGATCATTTTAATGTCGAGCTAGGACCTTTGATCAATTTCATCGTGGGGAAAAACGGGAGTGGCAAGAGCGCGATCTTGACTGCAATCGTTCTTTGTTTGGGGGGCAAAGCGGCCGCGACAAATCGAGGTCAGAGTCTGAAGAGCTTCATCAAGGAAGGCAAGGAGAATGGCACGATCATCGTCCGCATCAAGAACCAAGGCGATGGTGCCTATCTTCCCGACGATTTCGGCAAAACCATCATTGTTGAACGGCATTTCACCAGAAGCGGTGCCAGTGGGTTCAAGATCAAGGCAGAGAATGGTCGAATCGTCTCGCAAAAGAAAGCGGACCTGGACTCAATTACGGATTATTTCTCACTCCAGATCGACAATCCTATGAATGTGCTATCTCAGGATATGGCTCGCCAATTTCTTAGCACATCTAGCCCAGCCGACAAGTACAAGTTTTTCGTTAAGGGTGTTCAGCTTGAGCAGCTTGACCAGGACTATCGACTAATAGAGGAATCTGTTGATGGAATGGAAGAAAAGATTCGACACCAAACGGAGGACCTTGTGAACCTCGAAAACCGCAAAAATGAGGCCAAGAAAAAGTTGGAAATGTCCGATAAGCAGAACTCTTTGCGGCAAACGCTCAGGAACATTCGCAGCCAAATGGCCTGGGCCCAGGTTGAGGAACAAGAGAGGGTATGTGTTCAGACCAATCTCTGTCTCACTTCGGTGTTTCTAATCCTGTAGATGTTGACCGACCTGACCGACTCCATTTCTGCGGCCGACCAGAAAATTGCCGGTGCCCAGTCTGAACTCGCTCGGTTTGATGAAGCTTTCGAAAATGTTGATAACGAAATCAAAGATGCCAACGAACATGCCTGGCGGGCCGCATTGGCTACCGAAGAAGCCCAGGAGTCCAAAGCCCAGATTGACAACAACATGAGGGAGGCATTGAACAGTCGTTCCGAAATTTCTGTATGTACTATGATGCTCGTCTACGGCTTACCTTTTGTGTTCTGTCTAACGATACAGACCCAACAACGCAATATTAAACAACTTCTTGATGACACAACGGCCCGTGTGCAAGAGACTGAGCAAAAGATCAACCGCGAGAAGGAGCGTCTCGCCGAAGCCAGTGATGGAGGTTACGCTCGAAAACAGGACGAGTGCGACAAGGCCGCTAGTGCTGCCTCTGCGGCAAAAAGCGAATACGAAGAGCACCGCAATGGTGCACCTGCCCTACGGAGTGATGGCGAAGATGCTGAAAGGAAACTCGCAGAGGCACTGAGACCTCTAGGCACGAAGAAAGGAGAGATCAGAGAGGCCGAAAACCAACTCAGGAACCTCAATAGGGAAGGGGGGGCCCGACAAACTGGCTATCACCAGAATATGTCCCTTCTTCTCAAGGCGATTCAGAACGAGACAACGTTTGTGAATCGTCCGGTGGGGCCAATTGGGCACCATGTGACGCTTTTGCAGCCGAAGTGGTCCTCGATCCTGGAGAGTGTGTTTGGAAACACGCTCACCGGTTTCATCGTGTCCTCCAAAAGAGACTCTGATATCCTGGCGGCCATCATGCGGCGGGTCAATGTGTAAGTCAGCTATCTGTCAACAGTACTTGGACGTGTGCTCACTTTCGGCAGCATGTGCCCTGTCTTTATCGGCTCTGACGGTAATCTGGACACGACTGGGAAAGAGCCAGATTCCCGGTTTGACACTGTCCTAAGAATACTTCAGGTGAGTTCCCCTAAATTTGTGCGTCATTTGAGATTAATCCCTTTTAGATCGACAATGATATGGTCAGGCGACAATTGATCATTAATCACGGCATCGAACAGATGCTTCTGATGGAGCACCTGGAAGAGGCTTCTTCCGTGCTCTTCGACGGTGAACGGCCTAAGAACGTCAAGCGATGCTACTCGATCGATGCGAGAGATCGGCGCCGAGGAATCCATCTAACGTACAGCAGGGGGGGTGAACCCAGTCAATCGCCAGTGGCAGGATGGACTAGAGGCCCGCGTATGAAATCCGATTCTGCCCTACAGATCAGGTATGCTACGGTGCTTATTCTACAATGATCATACAATGCTAATCTAAACAGCGCACAACATGATATTCTGGCCGATTTGAAGCGTCAGTTGGGGGACCTCAATCAAGAGGCAACTAAGGCCAAGTCCCGCGTGGACGCTTGTAAGAGGGCTATTGCCTTGCATGGCAGAACCGAAAATGACCTGCGTTACCGGGTGGACCGGGCAGAAGACCATGCTGAGGAGCTCAAAGAGGCGCTCGAAAAAGAGAACGCCGAGGACGAGATCAATGTCCTCCAACTAACTCTAAAGGACGCCGAGGGAGAAAAAGAGGTCCACGAAGGATCGTTCAGAGACGTCGAGGCAGCGATGGCCGCCAAGCTGGAAGAGCTCAAGCAAATCAAGCGAGAAGTGGCCAGCAAGACCTCAGACCTCAACAGCTGCAGGGAAAAACAAGGAGTGGCAGAGGACGAGAAAAAACTTGTTCAAAACAAACGACGCACGATTTTAGATAAAAAGAATGCGGCCGTTGCCTTGATTGAGAATGACCAAGAAGCAAGAGCCAGCACTGTTCAAAAACAAGAACAGGTGCGAAGGAGGGTCGCCGAGTACAGCGAAAAGGCCAGTATGGTGTCGCCTCGAGTTCCTGTGGAAGAGGGTGAAACTTCGCAAAGTCTGGATGCCAAACTTGACAGGCTGCACCGCGACTTAGATCGCTATAGTGCACAGTATGTTGCCACCCCGTGGGCTCAGTTCCTTGCTAACTGGCACAGGTTGGGAGCCACCCGAGAAGAGATTGCAGATGCAGCGACAAGAACAGAAAACGAGTATTCACGAGCGCGGCTGCGAGTGGAAGAAGAGTTATTCGTGGCTCGGGTAGGTTTCACTTCACTCTTCTGGGCCAAATCTAACGCCAGCCAGGCTCTGAAAGACACCCTCCACAACCGCAAAAAGCGTTGGGAGATTTTCCGATCTCATATTTCGTCTCGGGCCAAGGCCCAATTCACTTACCTTCTCAGTGAACGGAGCTTCCGTGGCCGCCTGTTGACTGACCACCATAATAAACTGCTAGATCTCCAGGTAAGCATTTCCTGGGACCGGTTTATGGTGTTGTGTCTAACTGAGTAGGTTGAACCGGATATCACCAAGGATGATAATACCGGACGTGGTGCAAAAACACTTTCTGGTGGCGAAAAGTCATTCTCCCAAGTATGTCTTCTTTTGTCTCTGTGGGAAGCCATGGGTTCTCCGATCCGTTGCCTCGATGAATTGTAAGTTTGCCTTGGTCATTTGATTGAGCTTTGCTGACCTCCATAGCGATGTGTATATGGACCATATCAACCGAAAGATGGCCATTGACATGCTTGTAAGTAGTGTCCTGACGTTGTGGAACAAGACTGACTTGCTCCAGATGAGTGCTGCTAGGCGATCCATTGGGCGACAGTTCATTTTGATCACCCCAGGCAGCAAGACCGACATTACCATCTCCCCAGATGTCATTGTTAAAGAACTGGCAGCACCAGAACGAGGCCAGGCCACGCTTAATTTCCGTTGATCTATTAGCATAGCGAAATACCCTTCAATTCAATTTGGCTGTAATGTGACACGTGACCTAAGTTGAACCGTAGCTGCACTGGGCCTCAAACCTCTTCTCTCCCCGCCATAATCATCAATCCCAATCCACCCCCCTCTGTTTCTCATCTGTGAACCTACTAGGCCTCGAAAATTCTCCTTTACCTCACCCACAGATCTTGATCTTTGACAACCCTCACCCATACAACCCCTTACCACCGACCGACCAAGCGCAGCGCCATCACATTCCTCCTCTCCACCTACTTCTTCTACCTTCGCAATGGCTGACGCACTTGCTGCACAACTCAGCAATACTAAGCTGTAAGGCAAGCTGTCGCTTCTTGGGCTTCCCGTACTGACTGGACTAGGGAACCCACCCAAGAACAAAGACTGCAGGACTCATTGAATTTACCTCCTAAAGATGCTCGCCCACAAACCGAGGTTTGTCTCTCTCATAGCTCCAATGTCTTCCCTGTCAGTCTAATATCTCTAGGATGTCACTGCCACAAAAGGTCTTGAGTTTGAGGACTTTTACATCAAACGCGAACTTATGATGGGGATCTTCGAGGCTGGGTTTGAAAAGCCATCCCCTATCCAAGAAGAGACAATACCAGTTGCTCTCACCGGCCGAGACATTCTAGCTCGAGCCAAGAATGGTACTGGAAAGACCGCCGCTTTCGTTATTCCCACCCTCGAGCGCATCAACCCAAAGAGCACAAAGACCCAGGCCTTGATCTTGGTCCCCACACGAGAGCTAGCGCTTCAAACGTCACAAGTCTGCAAAACCCTTGGCAAACATCTGGGCATCAATGTCATGGTCACCACTGGTGGAACTGGCCTCATGGACGACATTATGCGATTGAATGACGCTGTTCACATCCTCGTGGGAACTCCTGGCCGAGTACTGGACTTAGCCAGTAAGGGCGTCGCCGATCTCTCCGAATGCCCAACTTTCGTGATGGACGAAGCAGACAAATTGCTGTCACCCGAATTTACTCCGGTCATTGAGCAACTATTGTCCTTCCATCCGAAGGATCGGCAGGTCATGCTCTTCAGCGCCACCTTCCCTTTGATTGTGAAGTCTTTCAAGGATAAACACATGCGCAATCCCTATGAAATCAACCTCATGGACGAACTCACCTTGCGCGGTATCACACAATACTACGCATTCGTCGAGGAAAAGCAAAAGGTCCACTGTCTGAACACCCTCTTCTCCAAGCTCCAAATCAACCAGTCGATCATTTTCTGTAACTCGACGAACCGTGTCGAGCTTCTGGCCAAAAAAATCACCGAGCTTGGCTATTCTTGTTTCTACTCTCATGCTCGGATGCTTCAGCAACACCGTAACCGCGTGTTCCATGACTTCCGCAACGGCGTCTGCCGTAATCTGGTCTGCTCCGACCTTTTGACCCGTGGTATTGATATCCAGGCGGTCAACGTTGTGATCAACTTCGATTTCCCGAAGAACGCTGAGACCTATCTGCATCGTATCGGTCGTTCGGGCCGTTTCGGGCACCTGGGTCTCGCCATCAACCTCATCAACTGGGAGGATCGGTTCAATCTCTACAAGATTGAACAAGAACTGGGCACCGAGATTCAGCCCATTCCTCAGAACATCGATAAGAAACTCTATGTGTACGACTCTCCGGAGAACATTCCTCGACCAATCTCCAACCCTCCCCCTCAGTCTGGCGCTGGATCTGTGAACATGAACGGGGACCGACAGCCCCGGCGTCAAAATCACCATGGCCAACATCAACATGGTCAACCAGGACAATACAACAACAGCCGGGGACGTGGGTCTTATCGTGGCCGTGGACAAGGCCAACGTCGTGGGCCATCGAACGACAACCGGATGGCCTTCCAACAACCTCAGCAACCCCAACAACCTCAACAGTCTTAAGCTACGTCCTATCATCTGGCCCTTCCCCCACTCTCTTCCAACTATTTTCCTGAACTGGACAGGTGCAATTCGTGTATCATATGGTTTTCTCTCTGTTCCAGCCAGTTTATCTTGAGTCGTTTGAATCGGTATGAACCTCATGCATCTTCGGCGCCTGCTTCTTTTCTTGATTGACATTCGGGATGCAGGGCAAATGGCGTTTATGTTTGGGTCTTTTTGAGTAATGGCGTTTCACAGGATTCAGTGAAGCGCTTTTTTTCTACGCTCTCAACGAGTGACGATGCACCCTTACGCCAGACCTGTCACCCCTGGCCCCAATCTCATGCACCTTTGTATGGGTATCCCCTTGACACCACACCAAAACACAAAAACACACCAAAACACACCAAAAAAAAGCCTGGGGGAGCACTAGCTACACGGATCCTCATAGGGTAGCTTCTGAATTGACAACATCCCTCCAGATTCACTGCATGTAGTAGTGTATTTAAGCCTCGTAGAAACAGCGATATATCCGTGGGTGATCTGCATGGATGGCACGTGCAGGAAGCCGTACATGCGGACCTCCGAAGGTCGGAGAGCACACTCTCTTCAACCTCACAATGGCGACTGTGAACAAGGATCAGAAGGCGAAGGTTGGTCTTGATTAGGTACATTCCAATTGATATCTCTACTCACCAATTGGCAGCCCAGTGCTCTCCGCTCCATCATTGCGGGGTCCACCGCCGGAGCCGTGGAGATCGGTAAGAGCTCAGATGGACCCTTGTCCCAACTGCTGGCTAACTGTACGCTCTACAGCAATCACATACCCAGCCGAGTGTATCGAGTCCCTTCTCCGGTGATTTTCATCTCCACTAACACCTCCAGTCGCCAAAACTCGCACACAACTCAATCGTCAGCTTGCTCAGGGCCAAAAGCTGCCATGGCCGCCCTTTGGAAGCCAATGGTACGCAGGATGTACCACGCTGATTATCGGAAACTCCCTTAAGGCTGGAATTCGTACGTTGCCCTTGGCAAGGTATAGCTGGCAGGCATTGACAAGGTACAGGTTTTGTCGCCTTCGATGCGATCAAATCCGTTCTCCAGGATGAGGACGGGAAAATCTCCGGACCGAGGACGGTCGTTGCTGGATTCGGTGCTGGATTCACCGAATCTCTGCTCGCTGTCACACCTTTTGAAAGCATCAAGACTCAACTGTGAGTCCCTCAGTTCATTGCCACGAATGGCTCTGACAGATCAGGATCGATGACCGCAAGTCCGCCAACCCACGCATGCGCGGCTTCTTGCATGGTAGCAAGCTGATATTCAAGGAGAGGGGTATCCGGGGCTTCTTCCAAGGCTTTGTTCCTACTACGGCCAGACAGGCTGCGAACTCGGCAACCCGGTTCACGGCGTACACGACCCTCAAGCAACTTGCCGAGGGCTACACGGCACCGGGGGAGAAGCTGGGTACTATCAGCACTTTCGGTATTGGAGGTGTCGCAGGTTTGATCACTGTGTAAGTTATCTTTTGCGAAGGCCATGTCATTTTCTGACATTGGCAGCTATGTAACCCAACCTCTGGACACAGTGAAAACCCGGTATGTATCACCTAAATCCCCGCTGAGCCCTGGTTGACCAGGTCATACCCAGAATGCAATCACTCGAGGCCAGCAAACATTATAAGAACAGCTTTGTTTGCGCGGCTAGAATCGTCAAGGACGAGGGTGTCTTCACGTTGTGGTCCGGCGCTATGCCACGCCTCGCTAGACTCATCATGAGTGGTGGGATTGTGTTCACTATGTCCGTTCCATCCTCCCAGACACAATTTTTTTAGTAGCTAACTCTTTCACAGGTACGAGAAGGCTATAGATGCCATGGATCTGGTGGATCCAGAGCGGAAGTACATCTAGAACTAGAGTAATAGGAGTCTATTTTACATTGGTCTGTTTTGCCATGTCTTCAGCAATCATGGCTTCAACTTCACTGTTATCCATCCAGATCCGAACGCTCTCCATCACGGTGTCCAACCCGTCACCCCCGTCCATGACACCATCCAGGTTGTGAATCGTAATGCCAGTGCGGTGGTCGGTACAACGGCTTTGACCGAAGTTGTAGGTCCGTATCTTGTCGCCCCGGCCCATTTTGGCAACACCGCCGAGAATACCTCGTCTGAGCTGCACGAGCTCCTGCTCTCGGGCTTCTTGGCGAGTTTCGGCAATCTTTGCACGCAGGATCTGCCACGCTTTTCTGCGATTGGCTTGCTGAGACCTTTCATCCTGCATAGAGACAACAGTATTTGTGGGAATATGAGTCAGTCGGATCGCGGACTCGGTTTTGTTGACGTGTTGCCCACCGGCGCCTCCGGCTCTCATTTTTTCTACTCTCACCTCTTGGGGATCGAGGTAATAATCACTAGATGGGTCTTCGAAGTTCAGGGCATTGTCCGTCTCGCTGGAACTCTCGGAAAAGCTCGGCAGCACCATCACGCTGACAGCGCTGGTATGGGTGCGGCCCTTGGTCTCGGTTGCGGGGACTCTCTGCACGCGATGGACCCCAGATTCGGTTCGTAAAAGATCATACGCCCCATCCGCCTCGATCTCCAGCACTGCTTCGGTGAGTCGGTCATCTGATGCGCCAACTTCGGTATCCTGCTTCAGAATGGTTGGCCGGAGCCCTCTGCGGGAACAAAATGCCATGTACATCCGCAGCATTTCAGAAGCAAACAGCCCAGCTTCATCCCCACCTGCACCGGGTCGGATTTCGAGTAGACAGGGCAGATTCGCAAAGGGGTGCCGGGGGATCAGCGACTTCTTCAGTCGGTCTGAGATTGTTGGTAAGATACCATGGCTGCTCTCGAGGTCTTCGATCGCCAGGGATCGTAGCTCAGCATCAGTTCCAGGGTCTTCTAGTAGAGACTTGAGCTCATTGATAGACTACATGAATCAGTGACTGCCAGTATTGAGCAGGATTTCCCAAGTATTACCTCGTTGGCGGTGACCCATTCCCGCAAAACATGAGCAATCGGCGCCAACTCTCCCGCTCTCTTTGCAGTTTTGGCGTCGAACGACTCCCCCAGTCGATCGGAAAGTTTCGAATGTTCGGCGGCGAGTAGGCGAGCTCTTGTCAACAGGGCTGGAGATACCGTGGAATCCGGTGCTGTGCGTGGTTAAGACCCCGAATGCAAACCTGCTTGGCTCTCCCTACCTGTATGGACTGCGCGCAGAGGCGACAATTGCCAGAGCCTAGGCCGTGGACTTCGACATATTGACCTGAAGCCGAGCATGTTCCGGTTGACAAGACCGGATGTCGAGTGGACTGGTATTGAATACACTGTGTCACATGACGGTATCGAACCGTTACGAGGCGTAAAGGCCACGAAGTACAGAGAGTATACAACGTCAACCTGTCTCTTCATTCTTTCTTCTGATCCTTGCGCTTTGATATTTGAGATCAAACGCCAGAATATGTGTCTATCGTTTCATCGGAAAGCCCTCATTTAATCTCTATTTCGTGAACTGCTCTACCTCCGCTTCTCCGCGACCTCCGCAATGCTCGTGTCCCTCGAGTTGCTCACAGCCTTCCTGGCTTGTTTCTCAGTTGGATGCGCAGCCCAGATACCCCCGGACACTCCTCTCTCTGAATTGCTCGCTTCTGCCAAATCCTATCTCGCGCAGGGCTCTCCACGGGACGCTGTGACATACTTCGATGCCGCAGTATCGCGCGACCCAACCAACTATATTACAATCTTTCAACGAGGCGCAGCTTATCTGTCTATCGGCAAGAACTCACAAGCTTCGAGTGATTTCGATCGGGTCCTGGAGCTCAAGCCAGACTTTGAGGGCGCGCTTCTCCAACGATCCCGCCTCAAGGCTCGTTCTGCGCATTGGGCAGAGGCTCTCCAGGATCTAGAGCGGGCCGGAAAGAAGTTTACGGATGACTATAAAGAGTTGGAGGTTGCGCGGGAAGCTGCTGCTCTGGCTTTCGAGGCCGAGGAGCAAAAAAACTGGGAGACATGTGTCTTGGAGGCAAATGTGGCCATCTTGAAGGCGAATACTGCGCTTCCCCTGCGGCAGACTCGAGCTCACTGCCATTTTGAAAAAGGCGAAACCGAAGAGGCATTGAGCGATCTGGCACACGTCCTGCAAATGTCCCCCGGCTTGGTTGAGCCCCATCTGCAGATGTCTTCCATGTTGTTCTATTCCCTCGCTGACAGCGATCGTGGACTTGCCCAGATCCGTAAATGTCTCCATGCCGATCCCGATTCAAAACCTTGTAATCGCCTGTATCGAGGTGAGCGAAAGCTTGCCAAGCGATTGGAAAAATTACATGCCGCTCTGGAAGCACGCAAGTTCAGCAATGCGGCGAGTCTTTTGGTCGGGGACAGCGACTCGTCCGGGCTGGTCACAGATATCAGGACTGATGTCGCGGAAGCACGAGAGGCTGGCCACATCCACCACTTGGCACCCAACAATCTTTACTCCAGCTTAGTCGAGAAGACTTGCGAATCCTATCGTGAGGTGTGTTTTTTCTATGCGAGCCCCCGACTGAGTTACCCTGCTAACACAGGTAGATGCGGATGATCAAAAAGGCCGGCCCTTATTGTGCTGAAGCCCTGCAGCTGAACCCTCATTCCCTCGCTGGTCTTCTTTATCAGGCACAAACCGCCATTGATGAGGATCGATTTGAGGATGCCATTCGGACGCTTGATTCAGTCAAGGAACATCATCCCAGCTCTCAGGAGGCGCAGTCTCTCCACCAAAAGGCCCAGACTCTCCTGAAGCGCTCCAAGCAAAAGGACTACTACAAGGTTTTGGGTATCAGCCGAGACGCGGATGATCGCACCATCAAGCGATCCTATCGCCAGCTGGTCAAAATGCATCACCCAGACAAGGCTCATTCCCAGGGTGTGAGCAAGGAACAGGCCGAGAAAAAAATGGCAGCCATAAATGAAGCTTACGAAGTGCTGTCTGACCCTGAACTCCGGACTCGGTTCGACAACGGCGACGATCCCAACGATTCCGAGTCTCAGCAGCGTGGGAATCCGTTCCAGGGCAGTCCGTTCGGGGGTCAACAATTCTTCTTCCAGCAGGGAGGACCCCAATTCCAAGGCGGATTCAAGTTCCCAGGTGGGTTCCGCTAGCCTGGGGAAATCCCTCGGGGTGTTAGGAGTTTACGTAGCCAGCATTATGAAACGGAATCAGATCAACTGTTTGTAATTTATCCTCTCGGGGCATCTGTCAAAGGCACATAGCTGACCTGGAACACCTTCTCCTTCTGCACGGATCCATCTCCCTTCTTGTCAACCACCCAGATGTACTGTCCTTCTCCGGGGCCTCCATTGTTTTCCGTCTCCACCGGAATGAACAGTCTCCCGGGGGCCCCCAGCTGGTCAATCAATGTTGAGTGAAGGGATTCGGCCGCCGCGCCGACATGGATTGCATTGTATGGCGCTCCCTCTTTCCAGCCGAGGCGTCCGTCGCCTGTGATGAATTGAACGGCCGACGAGTCCTGAAATTCTTTCCCTTGCTGCGACTTGTTCATATTCGCCCGGGCCAGATCTGTTAGCTCGGGGATGTGATCAATGCCCACTACTGTGCCCCATCTTCCATTGGCGGCGTCTGTCACCAGGTTTGCTAGAACGTGGGTCAAATATCCCGAGCCGGATCCAATATCCAGCACCCGGGCCCCAGGTTTGAGGTGATCAATCAGATACTCGCAGGCATGGCCATGCATGTGCGGTGCAGAGATAGTAGCACCATGTCCAATAGGCTGAGGTGAGTCCGAGTATGGCCTTGATGGGGCATAGTGGGCTCGATCAACCTTTGGCCGTTAGTTCCGGACCTCCACTGATGGACGGCACGTACCCCGATCATGGCTTCTATCACCCGTTCATTCTCGATCAATCCCGCCTTGGATAGGTTGTCAATCAACTCGGTGTTGGTGGAGCCTGAACAATACCACGCCATTTTGGTCAGCCGACGGAGCATAACAGAGGTATCTGCAAAGTACAAGGTACAGAGTACAGATACCCTTGGCTCCGGGGACGTTCAATGATGACATGATATCCACGTGATGCGTAGTGGCTCTGCTCTTATGTCAACGCTTAGGTCACTATCCACGTAGACTACCTATAATTAGGTAGGTATAGGTATTGTCCGTAGTAGAGAGACATATATATGTAATATATATACATATATATATACCTAGGTATCGACAACGTGATGTAAATCACCATTTGCAGTGGCCTCTGGCATATAACCGAGGGCCATAGAGATTTCCAAGGTCGATACCTACCTAGGTAGGTACGTTGGATCAATTTGATACATCCAAGTGTACCTGCCCAGGTGGGTATGAAGCAGATGCTAACCTTGGAAGTACTTCCAAGGTTCGTGCATACTGGGTGGGCCCCCGATGTATGTGATTAGTCAGATGCAAGAGTATAACATCGCGCACGCAAGTGCTGTCCCTCGACACAGTCTGCGATCATGGATCAACGCAGTCTCCGGGCCAACGTGGACCTGATGATTTTAGACTACCTGCTGGCCCTGTCCGTCAGTGGTATGATCTCGATCATCAACAGAGAAAAGACCCACGAGGAGGTGAACTGGCTGGTAGAGGCGGCGGAAAGTGAGACCTGCCTTGCCCTTGAAAGATCAAACTGACCGTACTTAGACTTCCGTGGATTGATTGCAGTGCACCGGATTGAATCCCCGCTGCCCTGGGACCTGGACATCAAGCTAGACATCTTCCGCCTGGTCAACCTTTTTCGCGCCTGGGAGCCCCCCAAAGATCGTGCACTCGACAGCTTCGTCCCTCTGTCCGAAATTGCAATTCAATTCATGAACTTGTGCCAATCGGCACCGGAGAATGTGTCATGGACACGCTGGTTTGACCTCGGAGCTCGCTTCATGACCCACGCAATCCTCGAAGAGAGCATATGCCTGCCAGACCCCCTGGATAAACTGCGCAACTGGAGAGGCAGAAATGATCTGATCGATGCTCACTGGGAAGTCAGCCGCACGTTGTTTCTGCAGCACATCCCACCCCCACATGGTGCCGCCAACCCAGCGAGTCGAGAAGAACTCGATGGGCTCTTCCCTCTTTCGGAGCTCGAAACCGAATTTGCAAGCTTCGTGGAAGACTTCATGGATGTACTTGACCCACCACTCCTGCTCCAGCTAGAAAAAGGCCAGCTACAAGGCCTGACCCGGGAAGACACAAGGCGCATCCGAGCTCACTGCACGAGTACGTTGTAATGCTTCCACAGAGCTAACCGCGCCATGTCCCGAAGCATGCTCCACGCTCTATGTGATACCCGAAAGCAACAAAGGGGAAGGGAAAGACCAAATATTTCAATACTATAATGATGAAGAACTAACCAAAGTCAATTGAAAGACCTATCTCCATGATATGGCATGTATATCTTGGAACCTAATAATTTACAAAAGGGCGGTAAGCCGCTCTAGGGTCAGAGAACGAGGACGAGGACGACGGACGTCATATCGCCTAGCCGAGCAGCATACGACGGGGGTCTTCAATGTACTCCTTGACCTGCGAATCGATTAGCATGGGACTCGCGGTTGGGGACACACGAGTGACGTACCTTGACGAGGAAAGTGACGGCCTCACGGCCGTCGAGAAGACGGTGGTCGTAGGTGAGAGCGAGGTACATCATCTAGTCAAGTCAGTACGTTGTCTACGGGGTTTATGAAGCAGGGGACATACCGGGCGGATTTCAATCTTGCCGTTGACAGCAACGGGCTTGTCCTTGATAGCGTGAAGACCCAACACAGCTGGATGATATCAGTATAAAGATCATCTCATCGATGAAAGAGGGACAGGAGAAGGAGACTGACCGGTCTGAGGAGCATTAATGATGGGAGTACCCATCAGAGATCCGAAGACACCACCGTTGGAGATAGTGAAGGTGCCACCGGCCATGTCCTCGATGGTCAACTTGTTATCACGGGCCTGGGAAATCATTAGTAAGATACATCTTCTACAATCCAAATGTACTGCCTACCTTCTTGCCGAGGTCGGCGATGGCCTGCTCGATTCCAACAAGATCCTTGCCCTCGGTGTTGCGAACAACGGGAGTGACGAGACCCTTCTCAGTGGCGACGGCAACACTAATGTCAACGTAGTCACGGTACACAATGGTGTCACCACCGTTGGGGCCCTCGATGGAGGCGTTGACGCCGGGAATGTCCCTCATGGCAAGCACGCAAGCGCGGGAGAAAGCGCTCATGAAACCAAGCTTCACACCGGTCTTCTTGAGCACATCATCCTTGTACAGCTTGCGGAACTCCATCAGCGAGGACATGTCGACCTCGTTGAAAGTGGTCAGAGAGGCAGCGGTGTTCTGGGACTGCTTAAGGCGCTCGGCAATACGCAAACGCATACGGTTCATTTTGACCTAGATTCCCCAACGGTCAGTTTGCATATTGTCATCATGACTTTGTGACCTACACGGCGCTCCTCGCGGCTGCCCAGGGCGGGCTGGGCCGCAGGCTGAGGCTTGGACTCCGCCTTGGGGGTCTCCTTGGGCTTCTCTGTGGGAGGGGGGGCAGCCTTCTTGGGCTCGGCCTCGGCGGGCTTCTCGGCCTCGGCGGGGGCCGACGCGGACTCCTTCTCAGCCTCCTTGGGCTTCTCGGAGCTCTCTTCCTTCTTGCCACCTTCGGGCGCACCGCCAAGCTCAATCTTGACGAGATCCTGTCCAACAGTGACAGTGTCTTCCTCGCTCACGAGGAGTTCCTTGATAGTACCGGACTCTGGGGCATTGACCGAGACATCGATCTAAAAGATCATGAGTGTAAGCAACATATCAACGTCGGGGGCTCCCTCTCATTTGTGCGTTTCCGATTTTTCTCTCTTCCTTTTTTATATGCATATCCTTGCATTGGGGGGGTTCTTGCTAGATCTCACCTTGTCGGTCTCAATCGTGGCAATTTCCTCGTCACGCTCGACGAAGTCACCAACCTCTATGTCACATAATTAGTACGTTCCAAAGTAGTGGTCTCAAAAATTGGCAGCATACGCTTCGAGAACTGCTTCAGGGTACCCTCGGTAATGGACTCGGCCATGTTAGGGACCTTGACAATAGAGTCGGCTAGGAGATATGAGCAATTGGTTTCGAAATTCGTCCAGGCAGCACAAACCATAGGTTCGGATCTGGTAGCCTCCCAGAGGAGAGAGGTTGAGTCGCGAAACATTGCTAAACGTATGAGCTTTGATTGTGCCAAGGTGATCAAGTGCTTACCTTGAGGACTGCAGCAATCCCGAAGCCTTGGTGCGCGTAAGGGTAGACAGACCCTTCACACTACGAAGTTGGGAGGAAGCCCGGGGAGTAGTTCTGGCCACAGCCGAGAAGCGCTGGGCCGAAAGGCGCGCAATGGAGATTCTAGAGGCCATGGTGTCAAGGGAGAAAGGAAGGGAAATGAAAGCAGACAAAGCCCAGCTGAATCAACTGGAAAATAAAAGGAAAAGCTTCAACTCTAATCGAGCAGAAAGAGAGAGAGGTTGAAGCTCGGATTAGATCGGGATTCTGGTAAACCGGGCTCTTCTGCCGGCAAAGGCGGAGTCCCTTTCTACGGCGGCGCATACGAACCCTGCAAGCAGCTTCCTAACGAATTAGGAAGCCCAGAATAGTCACCTCCCGGAACATTCGCCTTGACAACCTAGTACACAACCTGACTTGGAGTCCTCTCGATCAAGTTCCTCGTTGGATTATCGGCGCCGGAGCCACACTCAATTGCAAGATGTCCTCCGTTACGTGCGTCTTTCCTCTCCTCCAAGAATGTCATTGACTAATCCTCGATAGATCGCTTTACCGACGGTCCCTGAAGCTGTCCCTTGACTGGGCTGTCCACCGCCAGATCTGGCGCGGTCAAGCAGTCTACATCCGATCCCTGTTCGAGGCCAACAAGGACGTTCGCGACCCTCGCCAACAGCAGGTACAATTTCACAAATCCTTCGCCTGCAGGGAGCTAGCTACTAACACATCCTTCAGGTCTTGTTGCGCGAGACCGAGAAGCTACTCGAGACATGGAAGCACCCCGATCCCTACCGGGCACCTACTGCGCCCGGTGGTAACAAGTGGGAGCGCAACCTCCCCGCCCGAATCTTGCCATGTATGTCTCAATCCTGATATCGAGAGGGACACTCTAACTCAAATGCCAGATGCCCAAACCCCTGCTGCTCACTAAATTATATCAAAAGTGCGGCTATCAAATCAATTTAGCACTTTCCACATACAGCACCATTGTAGGGTAGAGTACCAGACTGAAACCATATCCCCCGGGGAAGCCTGAATGACGTTTAAGGTATTACAAGGCGCATGTAGGCCGCTTGGTGCTAACTACAAAAGGCGGGCAAGAGTAAGTGCTTGAAGTACCTGGAGGCTTTTCATTGATTTGGTCTTCACCCGCGGCTAATATCCGGGGTTGAAAATCCCTCAAACGAGTTAAGGTCGTCGGTATCATTCCATGTCCGTAGACATAATGTACAACCAGGATATTGATGAAAAAGAAAAGAGAAAACGCAGAGCCATAACGTGCCCGTCCCATAACCCCATTATCGTGTCAAAGAACCAATCCGCGCCGGAAAAGAAAACAAAGAACCCGCGAAAAAAGAGACGCCCTTACAGCTCCTGGCTGCCCTTTCCAGTCTTGGGGGTCTTCTTGGGAAGAAGGTCTATGGAATGGATTAGCAACGTTTGTGGCGCGGCAATCAAAGGCGGACGTACTCTGGTGAATGTTGGGGAGAACACCACCCTGGGCGATGGTGACGTGACCCAGGAGCTTGTTCAACTCCTCATCGTTGCGAATGGCAAGCTGGAGGTGACGAGGGATGATACGGGTCTTCTTGTTGTCGCGAGCGGCGTTACCAGCAAGCTCGAGGATTTCAGCAGCGAGGTACTCGAGAACGGCAGCGAGGTAGACGGGAGCACCGGCACCAACGCGCTGGGCGTAGTTGCCCTTGCGGAGCAGACGGTGAACACGGCCAACGGGGAAGGCGAGACCAGCCTTAGAGGAACGGCTATGGACAGCGATTAGTCGGGATCCGGACGCGCTTGGGGTAAACAACTTACGACTGCGCGTTCTTGCTGCCGCTAGCCTTGCCGCCGGACTTTCCACCAGTCATTTTGATTGTAAGTTGGATTGAAAGTGGGGGGGAAGAGTTGAGTTGAAGTGAAGCTGGGGTTACAGTAGAAAGTTCGCAAGAGCAGGTGGGAGGAGCGTGTGGAAGCGGAGGACCTTTATAAGGACGGTGAGGGTGACGTTGGGCGGCATCAACCACTCCTCCAGATCACGGACTCGCTTAGTCGTTGCAACCAATGATCAGTCAGATCAGACATTCCATTTCGGGTTAGCCTGTGTAATATTACAGTGTGACCGAGTGTGACAGCCCTGGTGGGTCATCTGACCCGGCTTATTTGTCCTCATGGCCCGCTTAAAACGCGTCAAGCTCCGTTTAATCATACAGATCATACCACCCCGTGACCGTATTGAAATTCCGTCTCCTTTGCACCCCCTCCCAGGATCAACTGGCCTTTGGCACACGAGTATAAAGACGCTGTCTCCCCTCGTCACCGCGTCACTCTTACTTTCACTTTCCCATTCCATCTCTGCTTCCCACACTTTCGTCTTCGACTTCTCAACCACTATCTACACTTTCAACCTTTTTTAAAAACTAAATCAAAATGCCCCCCAAGGCCGCTGAGAAGAAGCCCTCCACCGGTGGCAAGGCCCCCGTTGGCGGCAAGGCCCCTGCTGAGAAGAAGGAGGCTGGCAAGAAGACCGCCTCTGCCTCCACTGGCGAGAAGAAGAAGCGCGGCAAGACCCGCAAGGAGACCTACTCTTCCTACATCTACAAGGGTGAGTTGGACTGGGTTATTATCTCTGTACGACGCGTGATATTCTAACATGATTTCCAGTCCTCAAGCAGGTCCACCCCGACACCGGTATCTCCACCCGTGCTATGTCGATTCTGAACTCCTTCGTCAACGGTACGTCACCCTATGTTCACACGCGTTAAGACGCGTCTTCGCATTTTCCCAGCCCGCGGTGATCTGACTTCATTTCCCTATAGACATCTTCGAGCGTGTCGCTACTGAGGCCTCCAAGCTGGCTGCTTACAACAAGAAGTCCACCATCTCCTCCCGGGAGATCCAGACCTCTGTCCGTCTCATCCTTCCCGGTGAGCTGGCCAAGCACGCCGTGTCTGAGGGCACCAAGGCCGTGACCAAGTACTCTTCCTCCGCCAAATAAGCGGCTTTTTTACGTTTTCTTTCGAGCTTGCTTTGTTTTTACTGCCTCTTGATCAGTGATGGGCACTGAGGCGGTCGGTTATGGGTGTTTTGCGGGTTTCTAATGCGTCATGGGATGGCTTGAATTTTCTTTTCCCCGATGGGTGATTTTATTTTTTGAAAGGTTACCTCTCGATACGTGAATGCGGTGTAACATAACTCGGGTCTGGAGCAGGGCACGGATTGACCTCTCCTACTAGAACGCGAAATTCCAAATGCTTAATTGCATTGCATCATGATTCTATCTCTCTCTCTCTCTCTCTCTCTCTCTCTGCTAATGTAGCCAGGGGACATTATTCCTCGTCCGAATCATCCAGTGCCTCTACTTCGTCCAGTGCGGCAGCGCGAGGCTCTCCGTGCGTCGCCTGCTTGCCGGGAAAGATGTGAACGATGGGTTTTCCGGGTGACGTTTGAATTCGATGCTTCCAGTCAATCCAATCGGTTTCGTCGCGAATTAAGAACCCAATTAACATGCTGGGATCCATGTCCTTGATATGGATGCGGCGCAATCGGGTCGTGTAATAGCTATCCAATTCTTCGGATGTATATAGTCGCTGGGGGTGATGGGCCGTAGTGGGTCGAGTTGTGTGGGGATCAAGGAAGAAGAAGTGGGAACCTTGAACTCCCAAGAAATAATGTGATGCGGACGGGCGTCCACTTTTCTTGGTTAGCTTGCAGTTCAGCATTCTCGGCGCTTATCTTACTTACCCTGCCACGCCGACGGACTGGGGAAGTTTCAAGGCGGATTGTAGTCCGTGCCAGTACACAGTAGTGACTTGATCAATGCCTAATCTAGTGCCAATCAGGATCAGGGTTGGTTGGATTTTACCTGACCTGTCACAGGCCACTTGTGTGAACTTGTCCTCGTAGACATCAGAGTCGTTGGTCACGTAGACCCGGAGGTGGGGAGGCTCATCCTGTGTTGACAGTAGCCTGCATCTTCAGCAGTGTGGTCCAGGGTTCGGGTGTGTTACTCACTCTATGCACTTGGCCGTTGCGGACGGTCCAAACCATTCCCCGGGGTACTTCCCACATGAATTTGCCCCACGGTCAACGAACCGATGGATCGAGAATGGGGCGTCCGGATGATCGGCGAACAGTGAGAGCAGCTTCGACTCTTCCTCCACTTTTTCTCCGCGTCGCCAATCTGGTGTTGGATCATTAGCTTGTGTCTGGAGCATGGCGGGCCGATTCTCACCTCGTCCTAGTACGAGAATAGACAATGTGTTGGCCAGGAGAGCTTGGCCCGACCTGATCATGCAGCCCCATCCAGTATCCGAGGTGAAGCCCTGGGAGTCCATCAGCTGACTCCTCAGACGCACTCCCAGGGTCATTGAGGAGGTTGCTTCTGGGGTTTTGGTTCGTGGGATCGGGATGAAGTTCGATCGATAGGTGATCCAGACTCGCGACCCAAAGTCCGAAATGAATGCCTTGGGCCAAGTGTCATTCCCTGCACTGGCATCGTCCGGCGAAGGCGGCGCATACTCTCGACCCAGGCACCATATCACGGATTCAGGGTCCTCGTTTTTGGGCTCTGGGTCCCAGAAGTACTGTACTATGCGTTTGCACTTGTCCATGTCCACGGTCATGGTGTCTCAGGGTTCCGAGGTAGGGTGGTGGTTGGTGACGAGAGATATATATATCTAGTAGCAACAAGGGTGTTTGGAACCCTGGGAGAGCCTGTAGATCACCATGCCACGGCCAAAGAAAAACTAGAAGACCAAGGACAATAAACAGAGAAGGCAAATACACGGGAGAGACAAGAGAGATCTTCGAGATATCAGAGCAAAATATTATATGCCCACCTGGGTGCTCGATGAGGGGTCACGAGCCAAGACGTCACTGAGTGAACAGCTATTTTTCTGCTCTTTCTTTCTGCCTATTTCTGCTGGCTTCGTTCCAAGGTTTTGTCGCCATCAAAGATCAGAATCGGCAGAATATTTGAAGACCGGAATATGAGAAGATCCAATATCGCATCCCAAGACCGAACTACCAACCTGGGGCATCTACCTATGTATCTAGGTAACCTTGGAAGCACCGTTGGATGGCATAATCATTCACCGCCCTCGGGGCCGCCCTGAGAGGAAATTCCCCCCACCGATAACGACTTCACAACATCAACCACAATGGCCCGCCATGGGAAATTCAAGGCCCGTACCAGGCGGGCACCGGCCAGAGGTAAGACCATCATGACCCTGACAAGCGAACAGCACTAACCACACACAGACCTAACACCACAGTTTACCATGCAGCAAGAAGCTCGCAATACGGAAACACACGGCCGATCCTGGTCAGACTCCAATCTCCGCCACAAGGCTGTCATATTCGTGAGTTCAGGGAGACTAGAACCGACCAAGGAAGAGCAAGACGAGCAGATTAAGTCCGACTCGGACCGAGAGGAATTGCCCCCCGACGATATGGAACAGCACGCCGAAGAGAGCGACGGCGTATTCTTCCTGGACTCAACAAAACAGGCGATTGACACTGGCCTACCAGACCCAGTTATACAGTCTGAATCGTCGGATTCTGATGACCCGAGCGAGGATGAAGTTGTGTTTACCGGCCGCAGGACCGCCAGACCGGTGATCATCGAAACCAAACAGACCGAAATTGAAAAATTTGTCAACAGCACCTCTGTATCCTCGCAAGCGGCACTGGGTACTGGCTCTTCTCTCCGTGAGCCCTCACTCGTGGCAGCCCAAATAGAACAGACAGAGCTGCACACAGAGAAACCAGCATGGCCACCAGAACAACAGACCGATCCGCTAGCCGACTATATCGCCAACATCGACAAAGACTACTACGAGGAGATCACTGGTATGAAGCTGGATCTAGGTGACGACATTGATGTTGAGAGGGCTGCGACGCAACTCGACCTCTCAGCCACTAGTCCAACAGGCCCAGAAAGGCGACCGTCCAGATCACCGGAAGCAGGACGGCATGTGCACGGCGACAGCATTGCAAGCTCACCTGACGGTAAGCTCCTGAATCACCATCCATCCCGCCGGATGATCACTAATGTCAACCAACAGGCCTGGCACAAATGCAAATCGACACAGAGCATGACTCGATCGCTGCGTCGAGTGAAGATGACGAAGATCTTGTCTTCTCTGACTCCAACGACGATGTCGCTGAAGATTTCATTTTACTCGAGGACTTGGCCAAAGGGTATTCCAATTCCGATAAAAAGGGCACTCGGCCTAGCAAGCCGGCGTTCCCGTCGGCTTCCGCATTTGCGGATGCCCTCGAGGCTGATCCTTACCTCGGATTCGATATTATGGATTTCGATCGGCCAAGCTTACGAAACAAACCAAAGGGCAGGCATGCTATCCCTGAACTGGCGCTTTCCGACAGCGAGTTTGAGATCGAGCTCCAACAAGCCTGGCAGAATGATAGAACCAAGAAAAAGCTGCGTAAGAAGGAGCGAGAAGAGCTTCGAGCGCAAGGCATGTTGGGCCGAAAAGCAGGGAATCCAGACCTCAAGGTCAAATATTCCAAGGAGATGAACATGGAGGAGTTTATGACTGAGCTCCGATCATTTCTCTTATCTCCCAAAACTAGGTGGGACCGGAATCACGCCAAGGCATCATCATTTCACATAACTAACTTCACTTAGCCTGTCATTGCCACCAATGACCAAGCAGCGCAGAAAGCTCATACACGAGATGGCCAATAACCTGAATCTGAAATCACAGTCACGGGGCCATGGTCTGTCTCGATTTCCCGTGCTCAACAAGACCGCTCGAACCCCCAGATATACACCGAAAACCATTTCAAATGTGGATGAGCTCTTTTCAGGAAAGAAGCTCAGCCGGCGATTGTTCAAGTCATGGGGCGCAGACGCGCCCAAGTCGTTCAAAACAAGCCGGGGGAAGTCTGGAGCCGCTTCGTACATGGATGGCGATGTGGTCGGTGCTTCAGCTCCAGAAATCGGAGCCGACAACCGCGGACGGGCCATGCTGGAGAAGATGGGGTGGAGTACAGGCACTGCTCTGGGCGCGGCCGACAACAAGGGAATCCTGCAGCCCGTGGCGCAGGTTGTCAAGAACTCACGGGCTGGGCTGGGCTAGGGTCATTTTCCATAGCTAAGAAATAGACAGAGTGAGCCTATCCCAACCACAAGGTGCCCTGCGAGTACAAATCGGACTTGAAGCGGTGGTTCGTAGGTATATCACTAGTGTTTCTTTCCTCTCTTGACTGTTTTGTTGACTGGCTGTGCATGGTCAGGTAGTTCTCGAATGTGATCGAATAGCTTAGTCTTGGATGAGAAGGATTCATGGCAATGTGCACAAGCAAAGCCACTGGATTGATTTGCTTCTTTGGCGGTCCTTTTCGCCTTCTTCTGCTTGGCCTTGCCCAGCTTAGGGGGCGGTGACGATGCGGCTGGGGTCGAAGAGGATGATTCTTCTCCAGCAACCGTAGTAGACAGAGAGTCCAACTCCGCACGCAGCCTCGTCTCCACATATTCCCTGGAGGCATACTCATCCTCCAGGGCAGCGGGGTGGCCATGTTCGGGGGAAGCTGGCGTGGACAATGATTCCTCTTCACAAGGCTGCGGGCTTTCTCTGCCATGAGAATTAGCACCAGGGCTGAGGGGCTTTTGCGACCCATCACCCCCGAAAAGCGACTCGACTTGGGCTTCGCCAACATTCAACTCAGCCCGAATTGTATCGAAATCGGCACTGACACTGGCACTGGCATCCGGTTCACCCACAGATTCCAAGTCCAATAGGTCGTTCTGCATTCGCATCTCCCAGCAGAGTTGTTTGACGGCTTTCAAGTGCTTTTTACTCCGTTCGTGGGCCTCAGACTGTTTTTGACTCTTGAAAAACTTGTGGCATGCTACGCACTCGAAGCTCTCAACTTCACTCTCCTCACTCTCCTCGTCTTCCACCGGTTGCTCGGATTGGGCCCACACTGGCAATACATGATCTCGCATCTGAGCTTGGTTGTGGGCTCGTGATCTGGCCGCTTGCGCAGCCACTGATTGGCGAAGGGTTTCCTGACGCTGGGCTTCACTTTGAGCATTCGATTTGTATCGCGGATCACGTTTCTTAACAAAAGCCACCAGAGATCTGACCGCGTCGTTGAACTCACGAATAGCCTCATCACGAAGGCGTTTGTTTTCCTTTTCCATCATTCGTCGGACTCGGCGGTCAGGCGCTTCCGAATATCGATGTACATCTTTCCATGCGAATGATTTCTGCGTGGAGAAGCCAGTCCATGCCGTGTAAAATGGTCGCACAACGGTTTCAAAATCTCCGTCGCAAGACCCAAAAGATGGGTATTCCAGAGGGTCCTGGCTTTCCCACTGGCATGCCAGCTTTTCCTCCAGCGCAAGTTGCTCGAATTGCTCTCGCAAGCCACCGAAGAATCCAGTTGGAGAGTCGGAAAAATCCATCCGAGGGCTGAACTTGGAAAATAGTTTGAGAACATCATCGGCGGTTGTGATTCGAACATTGTATGAGTGTTGATCCCCGTCAACCCCGTCAGTCCCCAAGAAAGCTTCACTATGAGAGTCATACCATGCCCGTTCCTGGGGATCAGCTAGGACTTCGTATGCAGACTGGATCTCCGCAAAAAGCTTGGTGGCTTCGTCGACATTTCCATAATTTCGATCTGGATGCAAAACCAGGGCTTTCTTTCGATACGCTTTCTTGATCCTTCGAGAGCAATTAGTGTCGATCTACGCAGGAGTGATACTGAAACTGACTCTTCATCCGTGGCGCCGCGTGTGAGGCCCAGCAGTTCATAGTAATCGGTTTTTTCCTCTTGTTCTGGAGCAGAGCTGGCCTGGCTGGAATGAAATTGCCCCATGGCTGAAAGCACAGTAGAGGAACGGAGGATAGGGGGAAAGAGCAACTCCTCACCGAAGCAGAAAAAAAGAAATGTGTGAAGAGCCGAGGGGAAAACAATGAAGTTGCAGCCTTGGCATGCGTCAACGTCTACACGTCCGCTCCCTCTCCCTCCCTCCTCTGTTCTCTCCTGCGACCTCGAATCATGATTCACTAACCCTGCCCTAATATTCTCAGATATATCTCCAGGGATGGTTCAATCTCTCATCCATCTTCCCGACGAGATCTTGAGTTCTATACTATGCCACTCCTCCCCTCAGTCGTGTTCTGCGATCGAACAAACCCACACGAGATTCCGATCCGTTACAAATGAGCCTTTGCTATGGCGTAGATATTGCCTAACGCATTACAAATTCTGGAGTGACTACCACGAGATACGCTGGAAATCGACCTGCCCGGTACACTCAGTTGACTGGAAGGCACTTTTCGTGTCCAGAGATCAAGTTGATCATTCCGTGACTCGGATTCTGGATGGTATCCTGGGTAGTCAGACAGGTCGCATCGAGGGTTTTCGTTCGGTGGTGGAGTTTGGATACGACGCCAAAGACACCCTACTACGACATGCCAGCGTGAGCTCCGGGGAGGATGTACTGGCCAGAAGGTGGGCTTGTCTCCATGGATTTGGCATATTTTGCCCTCAGGTTGACCAAGGCTTCATGGTTAAAGATATTATGCGCGCGCTCTTTTGACTTGCCTTCATCGAAGCATTGCGATACCGGAATGGATCAAACTCAGGCGCGGTGACCAGGTGCAGCTCGAACGAGCCCTCGGGTGCTTCGATCTCTTTGTGTCGGCGAGTGAACATGGGGATCTGAATCAAGTGAGTGCGCACCCAGGGGTACTATGACGCGAACTTGGATCTGATGTGCGATCATATATTGGCTTTCAGATAAAAGATGCTCTTACCGGAATACTGAATCAGTTCGTCACATCTTGTGCCGATCTCGTCATTCTCAGTCCTCGCGAAAAGGCTCTCGCCATTGCGTCCTGGCTTGAGGCCAATGGTCTTACAGGGATAGATCCTGGGCGAGAATATCATGCTTTGGATCACAACTTCCTAGGCATGGCACTCCAGAATAGTGAGCACAATTCCTTGCCACTGGTGTCCGCTGTAATATACTGCTTCGTTGCACGCGGCATTGGCTTGAACGCTCAGCCTTGTGGGTTCCCGTTTCATGTCCATGTCATTGTTACCCCTCAGCCGGGCTGGAACATGGACGGCGACCCTGTGGGTGCAGAGAAGCAGGGAGAGCCTCTGTATGTTGATCCATTCAGAGGGGCTCGGGAAACCCTGGCCTCGGCATTGCGTAGCCAGTTGGCCTTCCTAGGGATGTCACCTCTGGACCAGCTCACAATATTGGGCGAGTCCAGTCCCTCGGCCGTTGCTTTGCGCTGTGGTAGAAACATTTTGAACTCGATTCGACTTGAGACCCAGCACCCAGAGACGCCGACTACTTCGGTGGATGTCGTGAGCGCCAAATATGCCGCAATCTGGTCTGTGATGCTGTTGTCCGATGATTCGAGGCCCGCAGACCTTCGCCATTACCTGCCTCGGCTCATGGAATTGTTTGCTGCCGACTTTCCGTCGGATCTTTTTCTGGTCGAGAAATACATTGTTCCTTTATTTCGAGGGATGTATGAGCATGAAAACATCTTGGAAAGTCTGCATGTAATGAGGACCGTGGATGAAATCCCCAGGCAGGTTCGAAGACGAAGTGGAGGAAATACAAACATACGATATGCAGTAGGCCAGGTTTTCTGCCATCGTCGCTATAGCTACACGGCTATCATTACCGGGTGGGATTCAGAGTGTGGTGCAGGCGAGCAGTGGATGATGAGAATGGGGGTTGATCGATTGGAAGCTGGCAGGTATCAAAGTTTCTATCATGTCCTGTGAGTGGTACCTGATGTCTGAATTCAGTGTTCATTTCAAGTTAACTGTGTATAGTGTGGAGGATCGAAGTGTCCGATATGTGGCAGAGGAAAATATTGAGCCCATATTGCTCAAATTCAGTGAATTACCAAATAGCTTGACTGCTATTGCAGGGAAGTATTTCAAATGTTGGGATGAAAAGAATCTTATGTTTGTCAGTAATATGCGGGATGAATATCCTGATGACTAGCTATTGAAAATGATTATTAATATGACTCTTATTAAAGCTATCATATCTACTATATCCCTTAGCTTAGGAGTATATCTATTGAGAATATTAAATATAGAGTATTATATACTAGATAAGTTATATATCTAATGTCATATGATAGATTATATATTCTAGTTATATATATTTATAAAGGTTATATATTTACAGGTGTATTACCCTGTTGGTCAGGCAAGGATACAATGATTCGGAGAGAAAGAAAGGAGATAGTATTTAGGGATTACTATAGAATCAGGGCCTATTCAGAGATAGTTTAAGACTGATTCTTAGAGAATCAGTCGAAGCGGGGAAAGCTCCTTTTTATGTAAAAACCTCAGACAGGGTCATCTAACCTTCCTATAACCAATCCTTAATAATAGGACTCATATAGTTCTATCAACTACCTAGTCCCCAGATTATCCTTTATAATTATACCCTTTTCTAAGTGTGAATATCCTATAAACAAAAATAGCTCACCTTCTAAAGAATTATATATAAAAAATCTTTAAATTAATCCCGATCTAGTAAATATATCTATTTTAAGATCCTAAAATAATCTCACTACTTCTTTCAGAATCTAAATACTCTTTTATTAAGATCAAATCCTTCTATAACTATAATTCACAGATTTAACGATAAGAAGGTAGCTATTTGCTTTTCTAAATAATCCTAGAATATCCTTCCTTACTATTCTTTAGACTAATCCTTAATCGAATCAATCCTAAATAATTACCCCTTCTCTTATCACTATAGTAATACTTCTAAACTACTCAGATCTATATTTAGATCTTCTCTTCTATTTCTTCTATTTAGATAAATTATAATAGTTCTTTAATTTTACAGATTTAATAATACTCTTTAAAGTAGATTACTATTTTTCTTTAGATAATATATCTTAGTATAATAGTTATATTCAGAGTAAAAAAGTATATAATAAGGTAAATATATACTCCCTTATAAATTACTACTATTAACCTTCTAATAGAATATTAATATAATAGTAAGAGATCTTTATAATTTAGTATTAATTATTAGTTAGATTTATCAATAGTATTAAACCCTATTAATTATCAGTGGGCTTCTTATTTAAGATATAGATATAGTAGAAACTATTAATAATATATTTATATAGTTAATTATTATTTACTAATCTATCTATAAAACCTAAATTATATAATAAAGTATTAATATTAATAAGACTATATTAATAATAAAGATTTAAATTTAATCTATTAGAGATTCGTTTTTAATAGAATATATATTTTATTTCTTTAATATAGAGTTCTATTTTATAGAATCTCTTAAATATATCTCAGAGGATTTTTATATATAATTTATAATTAACTATAGAAACTAGGATATTATTTAAGTAAATAATATAAACTATATTTATAAACTCTCCTAATATAGAATATATATAACTCTAGAAAATTACAGGAATATTTAATAGCTTAAAAGATATAACTATATATTTAAAATAGCTATATCTAGTATAAAAAATTATTTTCTATTTATTATTTTCTTATATATAAATCTAATAGTAAATATCCTTAATATTAACCTTACTAAAATATTTTAAATTAACTAAACAGTCTAGAATCTTTAAAATAAAAAATAAAAAGTAATAATTCTTAATTAATATATAGTTAAATCTTTAATAATCTATATATAAATATAGACTATTATCTTTCTTTAAGATAAATAAAATAAAAATATTAACTAAGCTTTTAGATAAACAAATATAGCCTTTCTTAATATTATCTATAATATATATCTATAGTTCTTTAAGTTTATTCTATAATAATAGATAAATTAATCCAAAAAACATAATTTGACCTTTTTCGAAATTAATTATATAATCAATCACCTTATTTTAGAATAAAGTCTTTATCCTTTTATAATCAAATATATTATAATATTTAGAAAACTTAGCTAAAATCTTTTCTGTATCCTAGACTAATAATTTATTATCTTTATTTAAAGTTAGACTTCTTTAGATATTTTAACTAATATAGAAATAGTAGTTTTATTTTTATTTTACTTTATAAACTAATAAAAAGTCTATAATTTAAAATTCTTAGCTCTAAACCACTATTAATTCTCACTAGACTTTAATACTATATTAAACTTATTAAAAATAATTTAAAATAGAAATATAGGACTCTTAATAATATCTCTATTTTGATTAATCTCTATATAAGGTTTTTAGATTATTTTAGTAATATTTTATATATCCGTAATAATCATTTTTACCCAGTAAATATTATAGATCTTTAATCTTTCTAGTATAATCTCTCTAAATAATGATAATATAAAAGGAGCTTTTTATAGTTTATACTAAACTATAAATTCCTTATTTATAATATTAGTTTCTATACTAATATCTAGATCTATATTTATATTAATAATACTTTTAATGTAAATTATAATAAAAATATAAAAATAAATAATAGTCCTAATTTATAGTTTCTTAAAGATTAGAGTAATTAAATTAAATCTAGTCTTTACCCTTTTTTTATTATTTACTATATTTTCTTTATATAATGATTTTTTATATAATAACTAGGTTTTCTATAATAATAATAAACAAAACTTACTCTAGAGCTAAATTAATCCTAATTCAATTATAATTTATTACTACAGCCATCTTAGTTTAATCTCTTATAGATTATAGAGTTAAAATATAATCTTTATTTCAATAACTCCTTTAATTAGTTAATATTATCTCAGTCTATAATATAATTTACTAAATTAGATTTCTTAGAGATATAGTATAAATCACTAAATCCCTAGTTATAATTTTAATTTAAATCAATAGACTCTTTATATTTATTAATATAATAAAATATTATAACTCTTTTAGTGATTTTAGTATAAATCTTAGATATCTTACTTTCAAAAATCTTAATAATCTTATTTTTTTTTAACTAATTCAATAATTTTTAAAAATAAATATAAGCTTTCTAGACCTTACTGATTATTAGTAAATATTATTTAACCGACTTAATTTAATTTTAAAATATATTTAGATCTTTATTATTATATATCTATATATTATAATAATTTATTATTATTTTAATCTTAATATTATAAATATTTTTAAACAAAGTAATAGTCTAGACCTAAAATATCTCCTAATTATAGTCACTTTTAGAGTATATCTTAAGATAGATATTCTATCTTCCTCTATATTTTATATATAACTAAAATATAACTAAACTATATTTTTTTTAATTATTAGTAAAGTAATTAAAATAAACTATATATATTATCTTCTAATCCTTTAACTAAATCTCTTACTATTATATACTAAATTCTTCTATAAAAATAGAGATAATATCTATCTTTAGAATTTAGCTACTTAATTAGATATATTTATTTATATATAATTCAATAATAGATTAGAGTTTATTTAACTATAATCTCAAAAAGGAAGATTATCTTAAGACTAAGACTAAGATTTTAGCTTATTCTATTACCTTTTCTTTTTTAAGCTACTAATATAATTCTCTATTTTCACAAAAAAGCTTAATTTACCATTAAATCTCATTATTATCTTATACAAAAACTCAAACCCAGATCGATTCAAGAATATCTGATAGAGGATTCTTATAAAGGAATTAAAATCTAATAAAAACTTAGGTTAGAGCTAAAATAGGGTTTAATTTATAAATTTCCTAAATCAGATTCTATTCGTTAAACCCCTAGAATAAGTTTTATTTATTAGAATCTTAAATCGGATTCTATTTACTAAACTCTTTAGTAGGGTCTAGAGCTATATAAAGAGCAGGATTTTAAGATAGTAATATTAGAAAATTCTCCTTATTTTAATTTGAGGGAGAACTAATAATATTTTAAAGGCTTTTTCTCAGAAATATTATTCTTCTTAAATAACTAAAGAAAAAGAATCAGAATTATAAAGGTTATATATTTATAAATATATTATTCTATTAGTTAAGTAAAGATATAATGATTTGGAGAGAAGAAAGGGAGATAGTATTTAGGGATCACTATAGAATCAGAGTCTATTTAAAGATAGTTTAAAACTAATTCTTAGAAAATTAGTTGAAGTAGAGAAAGCTCTCTTTTATATAGAAGTCTTAGACAGGGTAACCTAACCTTCTCGTAACTAATCCTTAGTAATAGGATTTATATAGTTCTGTTAACTATCTAATCCCTAGATTATCCTTTATAATATTAAGTCAGATAATCTTAGAAGTTATATAATATTAATTATATACTTTATATTAGATAACTACTATTATATACTAGATAAGTTATATATCTATAGTTATATAATCTTAAGAGTTATATAATATAGATTATATAACTAACAGTAAGTAATAAAATAGATAGCAAAAAAAAGGATTAAAAGCCTTAGACTAAGTTCTATAATCTTAAAAGAAAAAGGTAGTTCTTATCTAGATCTCTCTTTTTTTTTTTCTTTTCCTTAAGTTTAATATTCTAAATTAATATATTTTTTTTAAAAAAAAAAATTAGTTTATAATATAATATTAAACTTTATTTTATACTTTCTTTCAAGTAATATTATATAGATCTTTCTTATAATTAGTCTTAGTCTATTTCTATACCTTATATTAAATAATCTTAAACTGAAAATCTACTAATCTAATAAATTAAGATAACTCCTATTAATCTATTTAAAAAATAAAGAATTTATAACTAAACCGAAGAAGAAGAAATCCTAAATATTTCTAATATCTTTACTAATAGTATTATTAATAAAGAAGATATTAAAACTAAAAACCCTAAATCTTAACTTTACTATTATAAGCCGACTTCTCCTTAGAAAAGAAAGGTATATTAATTCAGAATATTAAACTTAAGGAAAGAAAGGAAAGAAAGAGAGATCTAGGTGAGAGTTGCTTTTTTCTCTTAAGATTATAGGACTTAGCCTAAGGCTTCTAATCTATCTTTTTATTATTTATTTTATTATTTCTTATTAGTTAAATGATTTATAT